GCCCGCCCCGCCCCGCCCCCTCGCGCCAGGCCGCGCCGCGCCGCCCCAGTGCGTTTGACGCCAGCGCCCTCCCTCCCCAGCGGGCTCCACGCTCCACTCCGCTCGACCGCACACGCTATGCACACTGTGCACTTCACTCAAGCGCCAGCACACGCGGCTTTTAACACAATAGTTTCCAACGGAACGGGCTGGCAAATGCGTACCGCAATTAATTATACAAAACCGTAGGCGTTCGCAGCCAGAAACTACAACTAACCCCCCCTATCCATTACTCTACTTATTTCTGTGACTTCTGGAACAACAATTTTCAATCTATTTTTTTAATTTACCGACTTCTACGAAACTATAGCGAAAGTAAAAAATTCTAGGTTTTCGTCAATTAAAGAATTTTTCTTACTTCTAACAGAATTTTTTAAACTAATTTCATTTCACATATTTTGCAATAAATTTAATATGATTATTAAAGTAGTTAAAATGGCATAATTTCAAGGCGAGCTCAATGTAACAAGTCCGTTATTTTTTTTGAGAAACCGAAAAAAAAACATATTCTCCAAACTCGGAAATTACAAATTTCCGTATACAATTGCAAATTTCCTGATGCCGTTGTAAATAACACCAAAGTAAAATTTAAATGATCGAAAATATAAAAGAAATTAAAATGTGTCAATAGTTTGCAATTTTTGGTACGCATGAAGTATTTTTGGCAAAAAAAATGAAAGGTCATAAGTATAAAAAATATATTTAATTATTGAAAAAGCGGGAGTCAATGGATTAATTAGTGCATCACGTCGAGTGTGGATTTTTACAACAAAGTAAATCGATGATTTTATTTCCAAATTGTATATCCCAACATAATTAGGCAATAATACTAACTTAACCTTACATAAGACGATAATTAATAAAAAATAGAATAATGTGTTTATTTGCTTGCAGTAACTGTACAGTTGAAAATATGCGTTTTCTTCGTCATTTCTATCAGGGATTAAACTTATTTATGGATATATAATGTTTTATTACGGAAAGCCACGGAACCGCTTTCAAAATTTTCAGGAGATAAGGCTCCCTGCCCCCCGTTTCTGCATACCAATGCACTTGTACTAAGTACTTGTATACAACATCCCTCGTAGTTTGCCAATTTACGCCCGAACTTTGAACATGGACTACCGCTATATTTTGCACAATACATCGGAGCCAACTGTACTTTGTACTAGTGATGCAATATCGATAACAAACCATCGATGTAAGCAAACATCAATGTTCAAAATTCAAACACCGATGTTAAAAATACATCGACATAAAATCATCGAATTTTCCAAGCCGGTTTAGTAAACTATCATTGAATTCATGTACATTAAAATTAATTTGGCAGTGTTCGTGTTTATCGATTCGCCGAATAAGGGTCCGAGATAAAGGGGCAGAACCTACACCTACAGCTCATTTGTTGACCGTATCTCAATGTGCGAAATGAATATGAAGAAAGAAGACAAACACAGTCATATCGGGTGAGAGAGTTCGGTCGATGAAGGTAGTGCTAATAGCGTTCCACTGGTTCCAACACATGAATAACAGGGTTTCTCTCAGACATTATTTCGTATTTTAACTTTAACAATGTTGTGATGATGATAATTTTTAATTCAGTAACAAATATCGGAAAATAAAAAATATCGATCACAAAACATCGGTGTAAATACATCGATGTTTCTACAAAAACATCGATGTTTCGCAAACATCAACATCGACATCGACATGGATGTTTTGATCCCCGCTTTACACTAACCTGTACTACTAGTCATTTGTGACGGGAGTACGTTCAAAACCCCCTTTTAACTCTACAATAATTTTGTAGAAGTGAGTTTTTCGGTTTTCAAATTACGCTATTACCTTAAAATTCTACCTAAAATTCAAATCAATATCTCTGGGAACAAAAATACTCTCCACATCTTTCTAATATTTTCCAATATTCTTTCGCAAACTTCCTTACACTGAAGAAGCAAAAGCATCGCCTCACTACCTCGTCGCTGAGGGAGGCAACGAGGTCGGGGGCGGAGTGTGTTCGAGAGGGAGAGGGAGGAGCGGAGGAAGCGAGAGGCGCTCGGGGGCTTCCGAAGAATGCCGCAGCAAGCGCGAACGAAATTTGCGGGGCGATATTGAGCAAGGGAGGCAAGGCGGAGCGCGGGTCACGTAGGCGGCGGCCAGCGGCTGCGCGAGGCGGCACGCGGAGAAAGCGCGCGAGTGCCCGCTCGCGCAGCGCCTACGCGCCGCAGATAACGAGGATAAATAGCCCCAGCACTGGCGACTCCATCGATTTGTACTTGCACAGCAATTCCCGCCAAACTACACTTCTTATTCGCGGTTTGCAGACTGCAAACTTTAAGGTTTGGAGCTGTATCATCGAATTCAAATACAAGACATTTACCACGACATTAAAACCACAAATTCACACACTCCTTTTGTGATAACGTTTTTCTTTCTTCCGGTAATCGCCCAACGCTACGTGCGTTACGTTAATAGAGCAAATTGCACGTTCAGCTTCAATAACTACCGTTTTCATGCCTTTCATACTCACACACACACACACTCACACACACACTCACACACACACACACACACACTCACACACTCACAACACACTCACACACACACACACACACCAACACACACGCAACCACACACTCACACACACCCACACATCACAGCCACTACACACACACACACTACTCCACACACTCAACCACACTCACACACACACACATACACACCCACGCCCCACCTCACACCACACTCACACACATCACACACTCACACACACACATCACGACACACACTCACATCACACATATCACACCTCACACTCACCACTCTGCACACACACTCACACTCTCACACCACTCACACTCACCACCACACACTCTCACACACAACTCCACACACTCAACAAACACACACCACTCACACACACACTCACACACAACACATAACTCAACACTCTCACACACCACTCACACTCTCACACACACTCTCACTTCACACTCTCACAACATCACTCCAATACTCCCAATCACTACTCACACGACACACTCACTCAACACTACTCACACACACACTCACCCAGCCTCTCACACACACACTCACTCACACTTCCTCACACACCACACTCTCCCAATCACACCACTCACACTTCCAAACACACCACACTACCACACACCACACTCCCATACACACTCACACTCTCCCACACTCCACTCTCGACACACATCACACTCTCGCACACTCGCTCACCATCCACACACACTCACATCTCCACACACACTCACACCTCTCACACACACCACTCACACTCTCGCACACACACTCACACTCTCGCACACACACTCACACTCTCGCACACACACTCACACACAAACACTGCAAAAAATAATATACTAAAGACGCGATGAAAATGTATAAATATACTTGCCGAAAATAAGCTCCCACATCATGAAAAAAAATGTTTCCCAGCAATGTTCTTCCTCCATAAATAACATACTTACACTTTTACTTTTCTTCCCTGTACACGGGGTATAAGGAGGTTTCTATGAGGAGTGGAATCATCACAATACGATTTCGAATTTTCCGTGAATTTTCCGAAATTTCAGTAAAATTAGTGCTTAAGGTTCTTTTGAGCTGTAACTTCAGTCACGCGTTAAGTTTAAGGTGCGTTAGTGCTGTTGTAGACTTACGATTGGCGCAGGTGACGAGCAGATACTCGCAATTTTCTACCCGCAAACTGGAAAATTGAAGAAAAATTGGATGGATGAGGAATGTATGTTTCTCGCTTAACTCCCTCAGATTATAAGCTTATGAACTGATACTTGATAAATATGCGAGAAGTATGATTTAGTTGTGTCGTTCCAGAGATCATTTGGATATTTTTAATTTTTGGCGGTACTTAGCATGAAACCTCTTACATTTTTCAAATTTAATTAAAAAACATGAAACCATTTCTCACAACATGATTTCTTTAATTTTTGCCGAAAAAGGAATAAAATGCATTTATAGAAATGGTACAGTTCAGATTTTCATCACAAACTCTGAAACACTAAAAATAAAAAAGGGCAAGTTTATTTTCGAGTCTGTCATGTACCTCTAATATTTAAGCTACAGATTTATTCCGCTATGTAATTTATTCCTCTCCCTTTTTTAGAAGTACTTGTACTTTATCTCTCAAATTTGAGATCTTTAATGGTTGCCCTGCAATTTTTAAAAATATGAGTACTTGTTGAGTAATAAAATAACACTAAGAAGGGGACTGCAGCACATTTCCCGTAGTTTACAGTTTATGGTAACTTCCACGAGCATTACCTCGGATGTGGATGTGTTCTTCGGTACCAAGTATCTGAACAACTTCACTACAAAATATCATGCTCAAGAATAAAAACATTTACTTCTCGCTCTGTCGAAAAGATGCCCATTAAACAATATTTTACACAGAAAAATTAACTTAATTTCGGAATTATCACTATTCGGGAGAGCATATTCTCACAATTGCTTCCTAGAAATCGATCTACTCATCTGTCATTATGCACAATTAATTTCTAATGATAAGGTACAGTTTTGTATCTCGGTATCACGTGCTCCTTCGTATTACTATATGGCTCGAATGTGCGTATTTCATTTTGACGAATCGCTTCACATGAAAGCAGGGCGTATTTTTAATTAAAAGGCTATGCATATCGGCTTTCCACCCATCACCTATATTAAACTGTCCGTTTGAACTCGTATTTCGGAATCTCAAAGCGTTATTAATATAGCTCAAGTGGCAGATTAATATTAATCTGCCACTTACTCCCGGGGATGCTTTCATTCGAGATTCTAATTTCCTGTAAAAAAGTTCGAGCTTTATATTTTCTTCTATTCGTTTTTGCAGTTGCTTTTCGCCTATATGGCATTCGTTATACGACCGTCGTCCAGAAAAAAAAATCAATACATATCCGTTGCTTGTGATCTTTAAACGGCTTGGTGTTGAACTAATATTGTTTCATTTTCGAAAGTTCGCTTCGCGAAAACAACCAAAAGCCGATACGCATGACCTGCACATTGAAAGGGCGGTGTTACTACAGGACGCTGCCATTTCGGAAGGACAAAGCCAGGGCATACAGGCGCGGCCAAAATAAACACAAGGCAGCGTGCGGACACTAGGGCAAGTCCAAGCGCCGACAGCATGAACAGTTCCTCCAAGAACTTTCATCTGCAGAGGAAACCCGATGAACACTCCACGAAATATGCACACGGTATTCAAGTAAAAGAATATATAGGTAATTAGCTTGATAGTAACTTTAAAATTAACATACTTTTATTTTTTTAAATTAAGAAGGTTAGAATTTCCAAAATATAATTATTTAAGAATATCTAAAAGGAAGTTTCATGAATGAGAGTTGTCCCATTCTATTTGTGGTAATGTGACTTGACTCCATTTGAACTCGAAATCCCAAAAATGGTTTATACTACAAGAATGGTGCAAACTCAATTAAATGTGGTGCTCACTAGTCTCTTCCAACAAAAACGACCACACCACTCTACGAGACATCCACTCCCAACACACCTCCAACGTACGGTTGGATATTGATTAATTTGAAAATTAAATTCATTCTGCAAAAACCACATTTGCAATCTTTAAGCAACAACACTTCCATCAGCGCGGGGCAATTAGAATTATCTGGAATTATGAAGGTGGACAATGTGCAGTTCTGATAGTCTACCGTGAATTCAGAAGGGCTGAGGCATTAAAGACAACCTCGAAATAAAGTTTTTATAACACTGTGGGTTTTGGCTTTTGCCACCTGTTGTCCATGCAGTGTGATTCTCAAATTGTTCAAGTTTCTATTGGCTCTAGTCGTTGCCATTTTTCTGTAATCCACTTCATATCCCTCAAACCAAAAAGTCCACTTGCTTTTATCTTGAAAGCGATTCTGTGTGGATTATCATTAGGGACCGAATTTTTAGGTGATGCACCTACAGACAAAGCGCATTGGAAATTTTGATTTTTTTTATTTCTAACACGTTATGTAACCTAATTGAAAGCATTTCGGAAACTTTTCTTGCACCTAAATCACCCCACTGCATCTAAATAGACCATCTGCCCCTATTTCCTAATCTTTTCCCACAAAAATAATTATTTTGAATGTGGGCATTATATGAACAAACACTGTTTAAAGTTAAAACAATGTGCAAGTCATGCACTTTCGTTTGCTACATTTTGCTCCAAAATAACCTGCCTCTATTATTATTCTCAAAAGAACAAAAGTTAAGGAAACTCATTGTCGTTCATTATCAGTTATCGCATTTAAGAAAAAAGGCCTTCTTTTACCGGATATCTTGCCGATGCCAAAGGTGTTTGCAAAAGAACACAGTTCAGTTCTCAAATATTTACTAGATTGCTTTTTTCCGTCTACCATTTGCGCACTGATGATGGCAAACCTGATGTTTTCTCAACCGCTGCTTCAACTAAGAGCTTGATCGCATCTACTACCGCCCACCGGTAACTCAAGAACATTTCAAAAAAATCTTATAGCCCATCACCCTCTCGCGTTCCACCTCCCCTCCACTCGTTCCAAAACTCATGGAATCTTCGCAACAAGTAGCTAAACTCACGTCAGAACCAGACACATGTTTGCACAAGAGGCAGTATTCATTGTTGTTGAAAAATTAACAGAAAGATGCCTCGAAAAACGTTTATCGATGTGCATTCTATGCCATCGATGAAATAACAGTGTATAAAAAGCATCTTACTTCATTTCATGTGGAGTGGTCATGTTATGGTATAAAATCATGTAATATCTTTGTACCTAAACATGCACCAATTTTTATATTTTGCACCTAAACCTGAATCTATTTTAAATATTTTTTCCACCTATATTAGCACCTAAATTGCAAAAAGTTAGCCCCTAAAAGTCAGATCACTAATTATCATATTTTACCTCGAACTCGTGAATTCTTTCCATCGTGACATGACGCTTCAAGGGTGATCAAACTTTATAATTCAATATTACAAGGCATCTTTTCAAAGCCTGTCAACACGTACATACTAAAATGGAATATTGTAGTTAATGTTTTATTATTTTCGACGAAAGGCAAAGAGATACGTCATTACGAATGGAAATCACGTTAAAAAAACTACGGAAACAATAATGTTCAAGAACAAGTTCTCATGTTTAGAAAGGCATTATTTTGCGCGCCCGTATCCACTAGACTTTTTCTTCACACACTCCCCAAATTATCGACAGCTAATGTGTACCCTTAATGGCCCTACCCCTATACCCCACTTAACGGGGCAACCAATCTTGCACGTTACTTTCTTCTCGGGAAAACGGATTAGCTCCATGTTTCTCGTGAACAGCTGCGACTGAGAGAATGAATGAAGCCTTCTTTCTGCTTCCCCTAGCCCGTTGGGTTCCACCACTAATGCGCGCTCCAGCCGGAGCCGCCAAGAGAGCCGGGCGCCGGGCTCCGGGCGCCGCGCCGCCTAATTGGAGGAGGTCGCGCCCCGCGCTCGCCCTTCTAACGAACCGGGCGACGCGGAGGCTCTCGGGGCAGAGACGAAGAGCCGGAGCAAACGCCCGCGCCTCGCGAACAGCTAATTGGGGCTCCGCGGGAGGCCGCCACCGGAGCCCCAAGAGGGACGACGCGACGCGACCGGACGCGACGCGACCGGACCGGACCGGACCCGACCCGACCCGACCCGACCCGACCCGACCCGACCCGGCCCGGCCCGGCCCGGCCCGGCCGAGGACCCCAACTGCCGACGGGCGAACACACACACACACACACACACACACACACACATCCCCGAGAGCTCGACGCAGGGCGACGACGCTCAAGAGGCCCTTCTGCAGCAAACTCACGCTCATCCTCGCTAAAGAGCCCTACGAGGACGCGCTCACAACTCCGGCCCTAAAGGGAGATGGAGGAGGGGCCTATCAACGACAATCAAAATTTATGAGCCACAGAAATATGAGGGCTTTATATTGCGCTTTCATGAGCTATTACACGACAATATGAAAATGGCATTCCAATGCAAACTCAAAATATATTATAGTTCAAAATTAATATACTTGGGCAGTATTCATAAACAAAGGAAAAGTTACCCATTAGTTGCAATGTTTCCCTTGCATTTACATACGAACATTTTCCACTGTGGTACCTCTAAATCATTTTGTAATATAATAACAGGTAATTATGACTGTGGAGTTCTCGTTCTCTCGATTCTGGCCCTCGCTCAACTGCTCAAGCGAATGGTAGAAAATCATAGGCGTAGAGGCTTTCAAGGGAGATGCGGAAAAGGCAAGTGCAAACTAAACGCGACACCTCTTGCGCTGTATTCAGTTGGTTGACGTAAAAGAAAATTTTATTTTCAGAAACAATCAATCCGCCTTACCCAAAACTGACGGAGACGGTTCGCGAGACGATATCGTTACTACGACGCAACCTCTCACTCGTACCACAAGCAAAGCCTGCAAGACATCGCAATGTTTTACCGCACCTCGAAACGCGCGTTTCTTCACGACATGCCATTTCATTCTGCACAAACCGCGCGATTCTGCACAATTTTGCGTTGTTATGGAAAGTGAGAAGTGGCGTCCTGCGATGTGTCGCGAAAGCGTCCAACAAGTGGCTCCGTTAAAACAAGAGCGAATCTGCATGGAAGCAAGCCCCCAGGACGGCAGAGGATGGAAACAAGCCCCTCTGCTCCCAGGACGACAGAGCACCGAGGAAGCTCGGCTCACGGGGGTTGAGAAAAAACAAGTGGTGAACTCCCCCTCCCCCCGCCACACGTCCCACCCGCTCTAAACCTCTCGCCTTTCGATACAGTACACGTTACAGCAACTACTTAATCGCTTATTGCCAGCACGCTTTCGAAGCGTCAGATCGCGGTTCCCAATGCACCTACAATTTGGCTGTTGGCATAGCACCATGCATGCCGGCACCCGCCAAAGCCCTTGCAAATTAATGAAAGGGAAATTCATTCGAGATACGAATGTTAATAATTTCGTGAGGTGTCACTAATCAATAGCGCTGCTATAGCAACACTACAACTCCTACGGGGCTGAAATACGTTTTAAACTCTACTGGCAAAAGTGATGTTCGCGAAGCTCAAAACAAACGTACAAGCGTGTACGAAATAAACATAAAATATGTTTTTATTTAGCTTATTAACATCAGGACGGTACACGGAAAATATACTTAACATGCTAAATGGAAACAATACTTAGCAATTCTTGTTCTGGTTAAGTCACATTTTTAATAATAGAAGGTACATAAGCATATATTTCCTTGTTAGCTATTAAAATAAGTTGTGAATCACTTGCCGATGATTCATTCTCTTTTCGAACGCCAACAGTTTCAATAAACAAAACCTTACAATAGCTTTCCCACCAATATGTGCACAGGCTAAATGCCGACACATGATCCAGAGACGTACATCAGAATGTGAAAAGGAAGGGAGCTGGAGAGAGAACAATAAGTTTCCAGCATTTAACACAAATAAAACAAAAAGGCCGAAAATCACTGATCGTAGAATTCAGTCAACGAAATAAGGAATAAGCGTTAGGAACTTTCACGTAGAATGCCAAGGAAACTAGTCAAAAGGAATTCAGTCAAAATCGTACAATGTATACCATGCGCTATCACGTAATATATATCAGTACATAAATCTAAACATTATTCTCGCCAGCTTCACCACTAATTCAAAAACTACCCTATTCTACACAAAATAGAATGTAAAAATTTTACGCACCTGAGTTGAATGTGGCTTTATGGAAATGCAATGAATAAGAACATTGGCCGTAAAATTTGGCGAGTAAGATGAGGCAATATTTCTCTAGTAAATAATTTGGTCACTAATGATCTAGATTTTAATGCTTCCTTTATAAATAAAGTACATTAAATATTAGACAATATTAAAATACTATTTATGCAATAAAGTATTAGAAAAAGTCTATAAGAGGAAACGCCGGATGAAATACTCAATATCCTTAAATTAAAAGTAGCATTCAGTTCAGAACAACACATATTTTGGTGGACATTATTTACAGTTGCATTTTTGACAGTACGATTACATGCAGTTTAGCTTGTATGTGAATTGGGATAGAAAATTAGCAAACACACGCAAGCAAATTTGAAGTATCAAGTGCCGAAGTGAGATTAATGAGGTCTCTTGCAATTTATTTATTGTGGGACCACCAAAGCTCTGTGACGAAGTGAGCTGTGAATGCACTGAATTTCTGCAAGAAAATACTCGAAGTAGTTTGTAGTTTTAATCAATAATAATAATAATAATAATAATAATAATAATAATAACAAATAATAATAATAACAAATAATAATAATAATAATAATAATAATAATAATAATAATAATAATAATAATAAATTAAATCAACTTACAACCTACAATATGCAGAAAGGCATTATGTAGTGGTTCGAAGAATGTACAACTGAGATCATGACTACTCTGTGAAATGAATTAATATTCTCGATGTATTTGACAGACGACAGGTGGACGCGTTTGACCAGCAGAGAACGGCACGTCTACTCGTTTATGAACACGCCGGGAAAATGGCGCGCACATCCGAAGAACTGTTACGTTAACACTGGACGATTCTATAAATACTGAAATCTCTGAAACACTGGACGAAACTCTATAAATATTTTTTAGGGCCTCGAGACGATTTTGCATTGTAATGAACCTATTCTAAGAGGACCTGGACTGTTGCTTCCGACTGAACGTCGTTCTCCAAGCAAGTCTCGCAACTCGTCTCTGTCACACGAGCAAATCAGGGTACGCTCAACCCCATCCGGCACTCGTGCGGCCACCCCTGCAAGACATGCACCAGACCACCACCACCACCACCACGAGCCCCCATGCAAGACCCCCGAGCAGTGGGCCAAAGATGCGCGTACCGAACTTCTTCTGCAGCCAGTCCTGCGGCACGGGGCAGTAGGAGCCCGTGGGGTCCACGTCGCCCAGGCGCGGCAGCTTGCTCGGCCGGCCGAACTTGGAGCGCCAGCGCTGGCCCGCCAGCTGACCTGTCCCCCACACACGCACACACACACACACACTTCAACACGGCGGCTCTGCGCCCGGCGAGGCGGGAAAGGGGCGGATCCGGCGAGGCGGGGAGGGCTGCCAGGGGGCTCTTCGAAAGGGAACACATTTTAACAACGCTGTAGTAATTAAAACAGGGCCGAAGATTATCGAATCACGCTGTGACCCACGGCAACATTTCATATTCGAAGCTTATTTTACTTGACTTCGGCCTTCTCCGAATCGCATACTTGCTCCAACCCTTAAATCAGCGACTAAAGAAAGTAAATATTGGATTCTAAAATATCCAAACGAATGTAAAATTATCAGGTGAACACTTGACAAAACACTAAATACGTTTCAATTATGTTTTTAGCCATTATTTTCTCCTTGCAACGATTATCTAACACCATTTTCCCCCTCCAAAATGAAAATCAATATTCAGGATTATAAATATTAAACTATATATTAATATACCGGACTCCATTACAAACAATTTGGTTCACTGTCGTGGCGAAAATGTAACTTGAAACGAGCGGGTAAACGCAGGGAGGAAAAATACGTCAGCATAAGCAAATACGAAAGTAATACATCCTGCAGAAAACAATCTCTGTAACAAACTTCAAATTATATCCGTGCATTCGCTGTGTCCCTGCACAGACCCATTTCCTGTTTGTCTCTCTCTTCTCTCTACAGACATTCTCACTTAAAGACCTTCACTTACGGCTGACTAATGTTAATCCTTGAATTTTTCGAAACCAAAGGCTAGAAGACGATGTGTATCCGAAAATTTAGCATGAAGAACCAGTGTATTCTGACTTCTTTTTTACTTTTAAATATAATGTGAATGACCTCTGAACGTCGCTTAACTGAATATGCTTGCGCCAATGTGTTACGATCATCGCAATCAGGAAATAAATGAATGTGGTCGATGTACTCGCCTTGCACCCCTCTCATGTGAACAAGAAACAAATTCGATCGCTTCCATTATTATGAAAAAGTCTGCCTCATAAAGGGACCTTTTCGTACGACATAATATGAGACATAATTGACAAGTATGAATAAGGAAAGGCTTTGGATCTCTCTCTTACTTGTGGTGACCAAATAAAATTAGAAATAAAATAATGGAAAACTTTCTGGACTTCTTTGGTCTAAAAATTTGTTACAATGTGAAACGAACACACATACCGAAATAATAATGTCTATGGGAACCTACAAATAATGTAAATAGAATATTATCTTCCTTACTATGTCTTTGCGTTTGTTCTCATATGAGCAAAAACACATATGAGCATAAAAGCAATGAGATTGTTCTGGCTATCCTAACGTGAAATTCGGAAGACTTTCATGGAAACTGCACCGATAGGGAACACATTGAACCAACACATTTGGTTCTTGACCACTTTATATAAGAAAGTAGAAAAAGTTGAATGTGGAATGAAAAAAATATATATATAAAACATTTTCAAAGTAACACAAATGTTGGTCAACAACAAGGGCCGAAGAATGTCTCTGCAGCTTTTGAGGTACAAACTACGGACGATTTGTCACGAACTTTCACGCGGGCGCGGAAGCAGCGATGGGAAATCGATTACATATCTTGAACATCGCGCATAGAGGGCCTTTCAAAGCTCGGCTCAGATTCTGAGCCAGAACAGACGAAAAAACATCTGCAAAACAGATGTTCCGATATGTGTCTAACATCAATGAAATCGAGAATTGTACTCGATTTGTATGTACTGAATGACAACACAAGATTACGAAGCAATATACATCAACTTCTTTCGGTTCACTTTCGTACACCGAGAGAACACACCGACGTGACCCGCAATTCCACAACCTTGGCATACCATGGCGATTATGGCGCACCGTCGTCATCGACCTTTATACCTAGTTCCCTCTGGCTGCACACATCGCCCCCCCCCCTTCGAGCGGCCTCGCGCGCCCCCGCGGCGTGACGTCACTTCCCGCCTCGCCTTTCGCGGCCGGCCGCCGCGCGCCGCGCTGCAAGAGAAGCTGTTGTTTAATGGTCAATCTGCTGCTCTCCAACACCAGCTGGAAAGAAAGCAATCCTATTAAATGGAGAGTTAACACACTTTGCAGATCTAACTTCCGCCGGGATTTCCTGCAAGTGAAGACTCATTAGTGTTACAAATTTTCCACATATTTTACCTTTCCATGAATCACCATTGGACACATTTACTGAAAACAATGAATTATATAATTAATGCAACTCCTGGATAAGAACAATTCAATAGCAATTCAATTGTTTGTTATTTGACTGCTGCAATTTGTAAAGCAGAAAGGTGTTCATGAGAGAGAGATAAGACACGATAGTCAACTCTTGCGCCTATTCCGACGTGAAAACGTTCCAGAAATAAGTTCCCCTTATCTCGTGTCTCTCCCATTCCGCACCTCAGCCCCGCCATATCCCGCTCCACACTCCCCTCGCCGTATTTCTGCGGCAAAAAATGAAAAGCAGAGCCAGGAAGGGCGGGACGGACGAAAAGTAACGCCCACCACTGCCTCCTGATCCTCGAAGAAGACTTTTTTACACGATCTTAAATCACGTTCTCCAACTACTTTATCCCAATACTCTCATCGACAAAAAAGATTAACTTGTTTTTCCACACTAAAATGATCGACAGTTGCAATAATGACTAATCGGAATGCGAGAAGTATTCCCGAAATTTTCTTAATAAAAGTGAGAAATAGTTAATTCCTATATGACAAAGTCTTTCATGGTACTTTCGCCGAGGTCTAAGTGATTCAGTTTTTTCACTTAACTCGCATGGGAATTTGTTTAAATCGTACGTTAGCGGTTTCCTTGAAACGAAAGTTTATAATCGCTGTTAGAAGTTACCCTGGAAAGATGGTTCCACGCTGTTGCCCTCGGGACTCATGAAGTCACCAGGGAACATTCAAGAAGTCTTGATTTGAGGCTGGATGTTTAAGGAAATCCCATCAGAATTTAAAAGAAATAAACCGAACAATTCTAGGCATTACCTCCTAGAATCGCAAAATTACGTTATTTTGACTTGTCTTCTTCCCCACCTTTCCAGTACTTATTTTCTCAATTTGTTTATTTTAAGACAAAATAAAAAGTATTACTAGCAAAATATTACAAAACCTGCCACAATATCGTTACCATTTTTTTACGAGTCTTCACAACATCTCGGACAAAATAAAAACCCGGAAAGAGGGTGATTGTCAAGAATATAAAAACAGAAATATAGAAACGAAGCCACCAACTGACAGCATATTTTGCCGCTAATAAGCGAAATAATCCGAGTTGCGAATTTCTGGACGCACTGGAGCATCACTGAAATCTTGACTGCCACCGACAACAATCCATTCTTCATTATTATTAGGAAAGAATAAAACAAACACGAAGGAGAGTCTGGGCCAAGTCCGCCAGGTTACTTTCAGGAACATCTACTTCAGTACATTTATGAACTCATTGATATTTGTGAATGAAGCTTCAGACGACTAAACGCAGTTTGGGTTACGATTCCACTGTTACGCTAAAGGAAACCGACGTACTAGTACCCTAACTAAGAAAATAAAAACATGCTTCACCCAATTCTACAGATACATTTTTTTTTACGCAAAATAGCACCTTAGTCTTTCTTTTAAAATCCATTTAGAAGATAAAATATTCCTGAAATGACATTGCTCGACAAGATGAAAAATTGACAGAATTTCGAAAATTTTGAGCCTTAACTTTTTTCCTCAAAATGTTCGTTGAATACACACACGAATCTCTATATCATACAACAACAGGTTGTATCCGCATAAATAATAAATCTAAAGCTTTATTCTAACGATAAACCTAACTTATTTAAATAGCATTATTAATTAACTACCTTAGTGAGAAATGAAATTTTTAAAAAATCTTACGACTTAGCCCATCTTTCTTCCCAGGTTTTGAATTTTTCCATCTCTTCGTCTCTCTTACCGTCAAATGCAATTTTTTCTCTTTGAATTGTCCCTAAATAACGATTGAGATAAAGCATTCTAATTTCCTTAAGATTTTTAACTCCAAATGCCACCAATCTCTTTATCGCACACCCACCTATTTTAAAACACTTTTGCGACGCAATCAGTATGTGACAAAGTGGATACACGACGTGGGCAAACATTTCATTATCGAATCGGTCACTCTGCAACGGAGTCCCACAGATGCACTTGCAGCTGTTTACTATGATCAGAGATAGTCAGTATTAAATATATTATATCACTGTAACTAATTGAATTCCTATTAAGAAATGATAACATTTTCATAAAGCACAAGTTCCATTGATAAATCGAGTTGTAGACGAGGCAAGTAGTAAAACACTTGGTCTAAAGCGGAAGAAGGGCATAGAATGCACACATCTACAAACCTTTAGTGAGTGGTATTTAATTCGCGTACACAATGTTCAGTATCCAGCCATTACAATCAGCAACGGCGCACTGGCAAATTTGGAGCAATTTCTTGAAACATACCCTTGACATTATGAATATGACTACGTAGAGTTTTTACAAGGAGAGAACTGAATTTTCAAACGTGGGCGTGCACTAGGTTATCTCCCTCTGGCAAGAGTTACCTCCCGCTAACGAGAGACAAATATAGTTCTAAGCAATTTCGTTCCGCTCGGAATGCGTTTATGGTTTCAGAAATAAAACACTTGAGATTTTGCTAGTCTGCGATAAATGAATCACATGATATAAAAATGTAAATTTACTTTCCATATTTAAAAGTGATTTTACTATTTCATGTAGAAAACTGCAAACAAACGCAATCCAAAAAATACGTTTAAAAGAAATTTCTTATTTTTCTATTGATAATGTACGAAGAAAACTATCCATAATGAAAAATCAGATTACGAAATTGTCACGACGAAATAACAATGAAAGCAGTATACTTTGGATTTACATTTAAAATAGTAACTTGAATGAATATCCATTATCTATTCCACGGGCTGTACACAATCCAGCCCCTCCTGACGCCCCCTCGCTTTAAGTGGTCGCCGTTGAAGTATTAGTGGAAAACTGAGCTACCATAGGGCACTGACACAGGCCTCAATCAACATACGAAACCAAGTTATATGCGATTTTACAATTTTCTTTCAAAGCTCATAAAACAAGAAGAAAACGGGAAATATAAAAATGTTAAAAATCATTTCATTTTTAGAATGCTGAAAAAGTTTGGAGTAAAAATAAAAAAAGAGTTGAAGATGGCAAAAACTAGAAACGGGTGTTGTAAAAATTTGAAAATACGCTAGTATATATTTATAAGTACTACCAATAAATACCCCTACTTATAATGTATCTCTTAATCCTGTTAACGATGCTAACTTACAATACTACGAGCATTTCTTTCAGGCTTTTATATCCGACCATGTAAAATGCAAATATAAATAACAAGTAGAATTTTGATTTGATTTATTTACGTCAAAACAAAAAAATGTATGTGATATGTGGGGTAGAATATAGTCTGCGCACGTTGTTCCTGAATCCCAGAATCTCTTCCTTTAACCATAAATAGTTGAATGGTTAATAGAAGTACCAAGAAAGAGAGGTTAGCAACATTTTCAAATTAAAGATGTTCGCTCTCAATTCATAAAAAAATTCTTTACGAACGAATTTTCTCTGGTGAATGAATTACAGATTTCATTTTATAGTATTGCTAACAAAATTACAACACACACACTCGGCTCTACTCTTACTACAACTAGCAAACGGAGAATTGAACAACACGTGTACATAGTAAAGCTACATTTAGGTCCAAAAAAGAACAAGGCCCCATTGTAGCATTTTTTCAATGGGTCTGGCAAACCAGACGAAAAACTCGATCAAGAGAGGGGTCATTGACCCAGAAGCTGAAGCATATTACTTCTTACTGGCACATTTAATCATTTTAAAATTATACAATTCAAATAGTAATTCATTAAATATCATAGTTAAATAAATATTCCTTTTCTTTTTAACGGTCTGAATAGACTATGTAGAAACAGTTACGCAGCGGAAAATATTTTACTTACCACTTGAACTGTACATCGATTTTCGGATTTCTTGTAGTAAGCTGTTGAAACTGACACTTGATATGATTTCTACGATGTATATTGAAATAAAAACCCACTGTATTGCGTGAAAATATATTCCCACATTTAAGAAAGTCAGTTTTGACATAAACTATATTCGTAAATAAATCTACAAGACAATTGTAACATTCCAAGCTCAATGAAGAGAGGCTAGTAGGAACTACGAGGATACTATTTACTTAATAACCGTACTTTTATCTGCAAGCCTGAGTACTACATTTCTTCAGAATATGATGCTACATCTCAGGCTGGAAAGCACATTTGCAAAATTCACGCAATTAGCTGCATGAATGCTGACTGAATTTAAAAGGATCCTGAAGGCGTAGAGCAATTAACTTAATTTTGTGTTCAATTCATTTATAAGGATATTCCATTCAAGGTTTGCCTGAATTGAGAGACAGAAATTTTGTTACCCTAACATCATTAAATTGCTTATTCCTCATTTTCAAATCTGCACGTTTTTTTTTTCCCCAAATTTAAAACTGCATTGAAACAGTTTTTCCGTCGTTTACTATTAATTTATTATAACGAAATCAATTTGAACCATCTGTAATCATGCTACTTATTGTTCCTTTTTTGCGAAGAATATTCGTACCATCTGCAGACAGAACTACTTTTCCGTTTCCAATGTACGAAGGCATATCAGGTACGTGTCAGGTAGAGGACAGGGCCTAAGATCGAAATCCGCTGGGCCCTTTGCTGAACTGGCAAAGAACGGGAATGATGAGTAAATAATGTTCTTTCGTGCGAGTAAGGTATTTCAACTCTTTTTGATGTTTAAGATTTGAGGATATTCAATCTAGGGCAATACCACAAATTCCATACGTTTCAAAATTACCATTTTGAAAGCAAAATGTTATGGTCAATGAGTCAAAATATTTCGAAAGATCTAAAAATAATCCAATAAGTAATTCATTCTGATGATTCCTTTGATGAAGGATCAGCTTTAAGGGGGAAAAATACCGTTACAGTATATTTTGATTTGAGAGTCCAAATACGCTTCGTTTTTCTTGAGAAAAGTTTTCATTCGTATATAGGATAGTCTAACAAAAAATGAATACATTTTTAAAAAATTAAAAAAAACACCGACGAAAGAGAAATTGGACGATAATTTTGAATTTAATTTTTGTTGCTTTTCCTAAATAAAAGTCCTAATTTTCTCTATTTTGAAAATATTCCTGTAAAAAACGAAGCATTGAAAATTCGCGTTGAAAATAGTCTGATTTTGTAAGTGCATGTACTATTTACTTTCCTTAAAATGCTTTTGTATTTTGTAAAATAGACATGGAAACTGGTTGATACGTTATGATGTTTAGAAATAAAGTAAAGAGTATACACTTGTTTTTACACAGTGTTCTAATTCCTTGTTTTATCCAAGAATTACCTTTCCTGAAATGTTTATTTTTCTCTATTTCAGAAGAAAGCACGCGGTAAAGTTAGAAGAAAGCTTTGAGATAAAAGTAAATTATGTTTGTGATTTGTATCAATAATGTTATAAACCGCATCCCAAGATCACCTGTAAGCGTTAAGAAAGTATCTTACATCGGTGGAGCGGGGCCGCAGGCTTTAAAGAACTGGAATCGCCGAGCCATGGTGAAGCCCGCCTTGACAGTTTTTTATTTATTTGTTTAACATCTAAAAACGATTAAAATGGTGTGTGGCATACAATGGAGAGAAGTGTATTCTGTGCACGTTTTCTTAAATTTTCGGATTTCTACTCTAACCTCTACATAAGTTGAATTATGAATGCAAATGAAAACGGTTTCGGCAAAAATGATACGAAAACATTACCTCCTGTGTAATAAAAACTATTCACAAAGGAAAACAACTTCAGATTTTGGCTATCATTCCCCATCGTGCCTTTCGTCAAGGAATCGACTTACTGCCGCGACAGCACGGAGAACTATAATTTGAATAACTATATTCCCTACTGAACTCAAGAAAACATGCAAAGAGTTAAGTTCCCGAAGCAAAACAAGGGGTAATCCGAGAATTCGCTCACAGGATCAAGGGAACTGAACGAAAACCTGATGGATTTTTTTTTAATCGCATGGTTTTGTACCCCGCCCACTACCCCTTGCTAGGTGTGCTCAACTGAAAGTGAACAAGTTTCAAACAAAATATATTTTACGTATCTAAATTATAAAAATTCAGCAAAGGTTATCAACAATACAAGAGGACTTTAAAAAATAAAGCTGGTCCATAAACAACAATAAACTTAATCCGAAAATGAATATGGCGACAGAAAGAATAATGCCGTTCATTTCTAATGGGGGTGGAACGGGAACGTCCACAGGTAATCGGAAACAAGTCTGGAAACAAGACAAGTTAGCCAGTTGCGCAATGAAATTGACAAATTGAATCTAATGATAGACTAATAACGTGAGAAAAAAAACTTCGAGAATGGATCCTAGATCAAATCTATATCACCAAAGGAACAACGCGAGAAAATCGGCCACAAGGTGCAACATTAAGGATGATGTTGCAGTACGAGCGCATATCAAAGCGTTGTTAAAACAGAGAAGTAGGTACTTCGTTATTTCATATAACGTGGTGAGGTGACTTGCCGGTCGCGAAAACAATGGGGAGGCGAAATGCAATATAAGATCATTACATATGTGGGCAAGACAATTTCATTCTGCTACAAACCTGAAGACTGAGCTCGGGCATCACAAAATTGGGGCAACGGGTCGGAGATGCTAAGTGGAAGTAAATCGCTTACAAAAACGCCTAAGAATGTATCGTTGCACTGAAACACAACGTAATGTTGTAATGACACAGTTGTCAAACTTACATGCCCCTAGATACTATCACCGCATCCAGATATTAGTGACTAACGAGACCTGTCAAGACGAAATGGATGTTGGGCGTCCGTCGATATTTGCATTCTAAAAATAGCTCTCCAGCGGAGGCGAGGTGCGCGGGAAGCAGGCAGGTGCCGGTTGCATCGGATCTCACGAACGCACTCGGCATTCCAGTGGTATTCCCCAAAGCGAACATTGCCACAGGGATTGGAAATCCCATCTCAAATAGCACGCATGTTATTTCCCAATTAAATAAATGGGAGGAAATACCTACATTATTAAGTAAAAAGAGGAGCAGACGCTATGCTTAAAATTGTGAACATACAGGGAAAATTAAACGTATTTACTTTATAACACAGTGAAGGATGTACTTGAAGTATGAGTAAATTTTTGGAGTTGGAAGGTTTATAGAAGTAATTCTCAATATCATATGATTAATATAACAATATTTTTGTAAATAAAAGTAGTAAGAGCTTTGCGGAAACGTGAAAAAAAGTAAGACTGTGCGTTAAAAGATAACTTTTCAATTCTCTTGCATTGCACTGTTGTTTGTATTTAAGCAGTTGTAAAATCCAAAAGTATTAAGCATTCTATCTATGAACTATGGTATACGTTTGTCATTAAATACCACTCACGAAGATCATTTTAAATTCAACAACTTCAACAAGCAATAAGGATACACAAAGTTACAAAAGAATGGATCTGCAAGTACATATACCTTCATATTCACTCTTCATTTTTTCTGCTTCGAATTCCTGGAGGGCGCCTAAAAGAGCACTTCTTTCTTCTCCAGTTAACCTCAGAATGAGATCTTGAGCTTGGCGTTTTGTCAAGGGGGCTGAAATCGACTTATCAACTCCCAGCACAGATATGGATGTAGAAAAGTCCCGAGCGTGCCATTTTGTGCGAACATGGAGAATACTTGAACCACTGCGTCCTAATGTTTTATCTATTTTAAAGGAAAACACTGCAAACAGCTTGCTAGCTCTTGAATTTGCCGCCGCTGGTAAGTTATGAAGAAATACGGACGAATGATGACATTCTACAGAATTACGAACGCTTCTGAAGCTAAGGACGCGGGAAATTCCCGAATAAAATTGACAGCGCTGGTTTCTAGAGATAACACTTAAGCAATTTAACTTGGCTTTCAGTGATAAATGAGGATTCATGGTGAATAAAAATTAGATTCTCACCCCGTCCATGCAGACACACACACTCCCTTCCACAACGTGTCAGCCATACTGCTTTCGATTTGATGACAGAGCCCCCAAAAAAACCCGTGGCCATTACTTGTACTAGTCGTTGACAAGTGCAATCCGCAGTCCGTTCATGCGAGTGCGATAGTCTTTACTGTAAGTGTTCTTCTGCGTTCCTCTATAATATTGTTTTGAACAGTCAGGGTAAAGTATTGCTTTCATGGTTTGTGGTATTGAGCATGTGGATTTCCTTGTATTGAATCAGTGATTCCTATTATGAATGAAGCATTTATTATTCGATTGACTTGACGTAATTTGTGAGGTTAAGTAATTTTGTATTTTGATATTTTAGGCCTGTGACAATGGCTAGTGGTTCTTCGGGCGACAGCCAGGCCACTATTGCACAGAAAACATGGGAACTGGCAAATAACGTTGAAACTGTTAGTACTGTTGATGAAATATATCGTTACGATCGGAAGCAACAGCAAGATATTCTTGCAGCCAAACCATGGGAAAAAGAGTAAAAACATTTAATACTTTGACTATTTGATTGTTTTTATGCCCCTAATTCCAGTGCACAATACCTTATTACCTCTACATTACTCCTCTTTAACATTCAACGTATTCTTTCCAGCCCACACTTCTTTAAAGATATTAAAATTTCTGCTCTTGCACTTTTGAAAATGGTAATGCATGCAAGATCTGGAGGTACTCTTGAAGTAATGGGTTTACTGCTGGGCAAAGTTGATGCAAACACTATGATGGTAATGGATTCATTTGCCTTGCCTGTTGAAGGCACTGAAACAAGAGTTAATGCCCAAGCACAAGCATATGAGTATATGACAGCATACATTGAAGCAGCAAAGCAGGTCAGTAGTTTTATCTCTGGGAAACTTTCAGGTGAAGACTTTTGTCAGACATTCATGCATTTACAAATTTTCCAGGTGGGCCGTTTGGAGAATGCTATTGGTTGGTATCACAGCCATCCTGGGTATGGTTGTTGGTTATCAGGAATTGATGTGTCAACTCAAATGCTTAATCAGAATTTTCAGGAACCATTTGTTGCAATTGTCATTGATCCTGTAAGAACTATATCTGCCGGGAAAGTATGCCTTGGTGCTTTTCGTACATACCCTAAGGTTTGTTTTCTCAAGTAGTTACTTGTAAAAAAAAATTTATTTTTTTTTTTTTTTTTGCATGTCATTTATTAAATAAATATTATATATTTCTAGGGCTACAAACCTGCTAACGAAGAACCATCTGAATATCAGACAATACCTCTTAACAAAATTGAAGATTTTGGGGTGCATTGTAAACAGTACTATTCCCTAGAAGTGAGCTACTTCAAATCATCTTTGGATCGTCGGTTATTAGATTCATTGTGGAACAAATATTGGGTGAACACTTTGAGTTCATCTAGCTTGTTGACAAATGCAGATTACACAACAGGACAGATATTTGATTTGTCTGACAAGTTGGAACAATCAGAAGCTGCCCTTGGACGTGGTGGTTTCATGTTGGGAGGATCAGATCCACATGAGAAAAGAACAGAGGATAAATTGCTGAAAGCAACTAAAGACAGCTGCAAAACTACAATTGAAATCATTCATGGCCTTATGGCTCAGATGATTAAAGATCGTCTTTTCAATCAGATAAAGACAAAGTGTGATACATAACTGTTTATACTTTGTACTACAATACTTCAGGTCTAATGATTTAAAATTATTCCAAAAATTGCTTAAATGTGCTTGACCTAAGAATATTATTTGAAATTGAAAAAATACTGTGTTCTTACCATGTATACTCTGTTGTGCACAGTATTGCAAATAAATTTGATACTACACTTATTTCTTTTATTTATTACAAACATATCTCCACATACAACTCTAAAAGAACAACTTTAATACTATATAACAAGTTTATAATTTTGAAAACTGTAATATTTCAAAATTCTAGAAGGGAGATAGTTATAATTTAAAGTATTCATAAGTAAGTTGTTTTCAGGGATATTAAATGCATTGTAGTTATTTTACAGTAAATCTGAAATTAAAGAATTTAAAATTTCAGCATGTAAACTAATGTGGTACTCAATATCTTTATTAAAAAGCAATGTAACATTGTAGTGGATACACAAATCAGAGAAGTATTGATTCCTGCTGGTAGTGGTTTGTGAACAGTGAATGAAGACCAGAGATATCAGGTTAAGGTGTAAAACTGCAAATTAGCAGGGGTTTGTCTTGACTTTTGTGGTAGTACATTGTAAGTTAAAAGTGGCATTTGCTCACAATAAAGAAAACATAATAGTTAAATTTATCAGTCACATGGACTTGCTTTTGACAATAATTTAAGGTTTTGCCACTTCCTTTAACAAAGATGAAAATGAAACCACACAGCACCAAGTCATCTTGTACAAAAGTTTGAAAACGTATGAAAATTGGTCCTGTACTTTGCCTTTCAATCATACTTAAACATCTCTACACAAATTAATTTCAAAAGTCTTTTGCGATATGCATTGTCAGTTTCACTGGGAACTGCTGAGGTAGACCTGCCAGGAAAAGTTTAAGTATTATGTATATATAAATTTCACATGAAATTTATGAAATTGTTATTGCAACACAATTTCCTTTCTTTCTCAGCTGAATCAGGCAAAATATATAAGTAAAAACAAAAAAATACATTATTATTTCTTTTTAATACAACAAAACAGATCAAGAAATAGCATGTACTATGCAACACCACTATTCCAGTATTCAACATCATCTCCACAATCTGAAGATATTAAACAAGAGTTATATTAACTTCTTTTATTGTGGTCCAACAAATTACAATATTATGATCACATACAAGCAACATCTTGACATAGTAATCTTGTAGAAAAAAACTCTCTAACCCACAAAGCATATATAAGTCTACCTACAATTTAAAATGAATGGCATTTGCTGGGGAAAAAGTTCAGATTAGGCAATAAATTATCAAATAAAGTTGCTTTCAGAACAAATGTGAGGTACTTTCAAAAAACAATTGAACAGTTCACTCTTTTCTAAACCTCTGCAAATAATTTTATATGTTGATATAAAAATGAAAATTTTTTGAAGAAAAGTAGCTGATGCACACAATTTATTTAAGTTCTGAAAAAATAGTCAATTGATTCAAGTTATTTTCCAGCAGGTTATATCCCAGTTTAGCTTCTACAATACATTCATCCCTTGGTCTGTTACCGATTCACCTTTAATAGCATGTTCACAGCAAGAAAAACTTGAAAGATTGCTTTCATTTGGGGGTTTTCCTATTATACAATATATCAGTAGTACATAGCAATAAAAACCCTGATGTTTAATGGTGCATTTGGAGGGAATACTAAAATTCAAGTTCACCCATTTTTTTCAGTATTTGTACAGCCTACTCCCCAATCCCACACAAATAAGTTAGAAAGATCATATGAAAGGATACAGTGGAAGAAAGGAGAGGCAACAAGCCACACAGCCTTTGCTGGAGAACTAATGTCATCCAGCACTGGAATAGTAGTGTACACAAATTTCACAACATATGTACACAACATGTGTAATGTTTTGGCATTTAACAAATTTCATTACAAGGACCTATCAAATCTTGTTATACATGCATATCTACAGCAGACAAAATTAGCCATCTGGTCAAGCAAAAAACCAGATGTTCACAAATGTATATACAAGAAGAAAATATAATTATATAAAACAAAGAGAGGATGTCAAAAAATAATATACTCAACCCTCCACCATTTTCTGGAAATACTACCACAGAAACTAGTGCCTCTCTTTTGAACAATATGAACACAGAACTACATGTTAACTACAGAAACCATTGCTAAATATACTGTATATATATATATGTATGTACACATTAACAGGACAACATAATAATGGACTTTTCACAAGGTCTCTTTGAAAGAAATTGACAAACATTAACTTTCTTTCCATCAACTTCCACAGCCATTAAGAGTGCAAATTCTAAACAAAGGGTTGCACCATGTGAGGACAGTTCTTCAGATCCTACTGGTGAAGCACACCTGTCCCAGTATTGTAGCAATTTTGTATCACTAATCATATTTTTCTTGTTAGAAATACTTGATCATCCATTGAAATTCCATCTCCCTCTTTTTCTGCAATTCAACAAGAGGCTGCTTGTTCTGGATATCCATGAATTCCACACAAATAGTAGAAATACCTAACAGTTTTAAGTACTGTTTATAAAAATCAAAAGCAGTGCTTCCTTTTTAATTCAAGCAGCAAAAGGTCACTGCCAACTTTCAGGAGGAAAATTATTCACTTCAGCTTGATCTTGTATAGCAGAACCACTGGAGTTAAAAGAAACTCGAATCCGCATTCGGAGTGCACTCTAAACAAAAAAGAACATACAAGTGAGCAATCAACATTAAAAATATCTTTATCTATGTATCATGTAAATATATTTCATAGTGATGCAGATTTAAAACTTGAGATGGCATTTATGTAACTGACTGTTTTGTTTTCACATATTCTTTGTTTTCATCCAGAAGCATTAATGAGATCTGCAAATCAGCAGTTGTTGACTAGCTGATATTGAATATCCCCCAATTTTTGTTGTTGATTAGTTGATATTGGAAATCTATATATTTAAAACACTAAGGGTTTTCATTCAGAAAGAAATTTGAGCATCCACTCAACCAAATTTCATGATTTGTTTCTTCAAATCTAAGGCATTGGGCTTTAAGATCTGTTATCACTTGCTCTTATTAATATGTTTTATTTATCTATTACTGATAAAAACACTAATCTTTAATAATTTTAAAGTCTTACAAATACTAGAATTAACACTTTTCTACTGTCCATTTGTTCATTACATCATTATCAAGACCTGCTACATTCTATGAAATTTGTTGAATTGGTCATTTATTTTTGCCTACTGCATTAGATCTACCGAAGCGAGTCAACGTTTCACAGTAATTATTCTAAGTTCAAAGATAATTAATCATTTTAAAATATTTGGATTAGTGAGTGTTTATAAACGCAATATCCAGCAATAGTCTGACATGTCTTTACAAAAAATGTTAAGTGGTTATAAATAGAAGTAATACATTACATTTTTAGTTACAGTCACAATTTCCTGCAATAGTTCAGAACATACATGCACAGAGCTTGATAAATATAAACCATTTCAATTACATTTTCAGAAAACATGTTAATGTAACTGTGTTCACGGTCAATAGTGATTATATTGTACCAGAATTTTTACACTTCTCTGATTATTCAGTCTTGGAAAATAACAACTGAATGACATAAAGCAATATTTTTTAGGTTTTACGTATTGGGCATATACAGCACTTTTCAGGCCTTCCTAATTACACAGGTTCAGCTAGTAAATACTTTTAAGATAATCAAACTGGTTATAACAATCTACTCAATAAGACATCCAGTTTTCCAGTGATTCTTTTTTTTCTCGTAAGACAGCAGTATAACTAGAATGAAAGAACTACAGTCAAACTCTGCTTTAACATTCCTGAAATTTAATTTTCTAGTTTTTAACACAGTTTTTTATCTCTTCAATTCCCCTAAATTCGCAAGGTAAAATTATTCCTGATTTTACTTCAGAAATTAAAATTTCTATCCATTTATTCTGCTTACTTGAGTACACTAGTACGAAGATTCATAATTCGTTTGGCTATGGATCTAGTATGTTTGTTCCCAACTAGCACGCAAAATACTTGACTGTTTGTGAATGGGTAAAGTCAGAATTATTCCAAGTTGTCCTAGGTGTAACCATTCTTATTTCAAAAATAAATTTACGTAAGGGAAACCAACAACATGTCATGGACTGCCTATGCATGCCCATCAGTGATACATATGTGGTCAAATGACTTCATTTCCAATTTCATTATCATATTAGTGATTATATTGTTTTGAAATCAGCAAATGCTATTTTTTATGCTCTTTCCTTACTTCCATGCATATTTTACTTTGTTGGTGCTGCAGTGGGTAAAACTTTGTTTGTTCTTGTAGATTGCTTTCCACAATGGTCGCTGAGCATAGTAACAAGTTAGTTCTTTGTGAACAACTTTAAAACCATTTTCATATTCATTTGAACATAAGATGGATTCAAAAAAGAGAAAGAAAGAATCTTTCTATTCCAGAAAAGTTTTAGAAAAGAGTTAAATTATAATATTTAAAAGTTAAAAAAGTCCAACATTTACTTATTAAAAATTAAATTATAATAAAAATGGGTTATTAATACTTCATATATTAATGCTCACTTTAATTTACAGATACACTTTCAATTACTGACATTCATATCTTTCCCCACCCGCTTCTCCATAACTCTTCTTTTTCCTTTCAGGTGTACATATGTAACCATTACCAGTGTTTTTGTTACATGTGTCATTGAATTATGCTGGCCATCTCATATTGATAAGACTCAAGTCATTTAAATTTGGGTGAAGAAACTAAGACATTGTGTGATGTACCACAACCTCTGGCACAAAATACAAACCTTATTAGGATTCACAATTCTGAGAATCTGTGTCACCTGTCCAGCAGGAGGCACTACAGTTCCAGAGGGTGACATCATTTGCAACTGAAATGTCTGTAACAAATACAAACAAACACATCAGTCAATTTACTCACATACCACTGGTCAACAATGGAAAAGGTATTTAATATTACCCTTTGATAATGAAGTGATGGTTGATTATTTGAAATAATAATTATTATGAATAGAAAGGACTAAGATTTCCAGGGTTTACTTCACCAACTTTCATTAGAACTTTTCCTCCACTGAAAAAAGTTTTTGTAATTTTAGATAAGATTTATCCACTTATTTGTTACCTGGACCTAGAGTTTTTCTGTTGAAAATTTACCATTTTCTGGCACATGATTACAATACTTTCTCTTCTTATAAAGTGAGGGCAAGAAAGAAAAAGTAGGATAAAGTAATTCAGTATTGTGAGACAGGGGCTTATGGAGGTGGGCCCAAGTACTACTGGACACTAACGCTACAAGACCAGAAACTGTTTAAGGCATGAATGTTTGTAGATGTGTTCATGGCATGAAGGGGCATTCCAAGACCCTCCTTTAATGCATATGAATGGGTGCACGCCAGAATGGTGTAAGTGACATTTTATAAATTCTGAGAAAACTGTTTATTTAACTGTTTGGGAGTTTCAAACATATTTTCATTTTTGAGGGTACTTCATATATAGTCTCAAAAACATTTTCAAAGTTTTCTCAAAAATGGCCCCAAATTTTCTGATTAAACTTTGTTGTTGAATAATGCGAAGGATGTTTAATAGAAAGGTTCAGATCTCATTTTCGTTGACATCCCCAATTTTTTGAAAATAATTCCCAATTTTTAGAAATTTTGCCCAAACAAATTATGTTGAACAAAATTAGCTCTTTAAAAAAGGTCATGTACAAGTGTTTGAATAAATGATAAATTTTTGCATATTTTGCACTTGAAGTTATTGTAATTTTTTTTTCTCAAACACTGCTCCAAATTTGCAATGAGCATTTCAAATACACAAAATTGGAGATGGCAATTTTTGCTTTAAAACAAAGTCTGTTGTAAAAAATAAGTTGATTAAAAAAGGGCAATTACATTTTTTGAAAAAAATGAGCCCATTTTGCTGCATTCAATCATTTTAAGTTATGCTACTTCTAAAAATATTTCATATATATTCATTAAACTTTCTCCTCGTATGTAACTGCGTATGATAAATAAATAAATAAAACTAGTAGTGCTGTAGAATGGCACAGACTTTCTCCCTTTAGTTAGTTTTCTTCTAGACTGAACTAGGTTTTTGGTTGTGCCCGATTCCTTCTTTGGTCATTCAAAGAACTTTTGTTTTTCACATTTTCTCGATTTTTTAGCTTCCTAATGCTAGAACTGAAACAATGTTATGTTTTGAGTAATATGAAAGAAGAAAGATCTTGTTCTCCAAGATAGCCAAGATTGTTAAATGGCGTGTTGGGTTTTATCACTTGAAACCAAGAGGTTGCTGGTTTGAGTTACATACGGGCATTTTAATTTGATGAATATGTTGTTGTAGAAAACTAATGACGATTCAAGAAACTTTATTGAAAATCAGTTGCAGCATTTCTACTTACAAATGCAAACAATACATATACAAATAAACCAGACATGTCAAAACATTCTTTTGCTATTTGTAACTTTTAAACATTTTTTCCACTTTCTTTTGCAAGTTGTATGTAATGTCAAATGAATTCTTGAGATTCTGTGCATATGTATGAATTGATTTAAGTAAACTAATGAATCTATCGACATGAAATTTAAATACATTATGAACACTAGCCATGTGACCAACTTAGATATCCCTCATGGTTCCAAAATTTCTGCTACTTTTTCACCTTACGAATTATTCGTAAGAAAAGATAGTTATGTAATCGTGCGCCAGAAAACACTGAAATTTCACCAAAAAAAACTTACTGCCGAGTTCTGGTAACAAAGAAGTGGATAAATCCTGTTGCTAAATTTAGGAAAATTCTCAAACACGTGACGTTGCAGCGCCTTCGTGGCATAGTAGTATGAGTGCCAGCCCGTTAACTCAGAGGATCTGAGTACAAGTCTCAGAGCAGAAAAATAATTTGCTACTTGAAAATACTTTTGCTGGTTTATGTAATAATGTTGCATAGTATTTAGAAACAATGCAAAAAAGTATGTGATTTGGCAGCACCACTAGTTTAAGAATATATTGACAAGAAAAACCAGTTTTCCAAGCTTGTACATTATTTCAGCGTTGATATGCAATCGGGGCCGAAAAATTCTCTGCGAGAATTTGTGTGCATATTATTACATTTTTGACCCTGGGACTAAGCTTATTCTTTTCAGCCAAGCTGCAATTTCCCAACATCTTTCTTTAGCATTGAAGTCCTATTCACATAAGTATATAGTGAATTCTCCCTCTTGTCCCAAGAGATTTACGTCATTTTCTACACCCAGAGCGGAGGAAGAACTGATAGAAATGGTAATGGTGGAATCAGAATATCTCGTCCATTAGCACATGTGTCATTGCTGGGCACAGATTTGGATATATAATAACTGTCTTATTTTTCTTATTAAATCCAGATATTTTACTTATATAAAATTAGAATTACTGGAATGTTCTTGTTGCTCTAGCTGTCTTCAACTTTTTACACAAATTTTACAAATAATTCATAGGGTGAACATATTGTCTTATTCCTCTAATTTTATTTTAACATAGTCCAGATACAACTTTAAATCATGGGAGAAATGTTTCTTTTCTGCTTCTTCATCACTCAACATATCCATTTGAAACAAAAACATTTGAGATTGTTCACACAGCCTTTTTCTTGAAATACCATTCACACTTGACATTTTTTCCCAAAGCAAAATTGCAACACATGAAAAATATTTAAAAAGAGACCATGAGAGAATAACTTTGCTTGATCATGCCTGTTACGAAGTCAATGGGACAGCCACTGCAGAGCTGCAGCATAGGGTAAATTATGAGCAACAGCAGGTAAGGGATAAAGCCTAGTTTTATTGAATGTTGCCACCATAAGAATATCTTGCTACATAGTGGTGTTGAAGAATAGCTACATAATGAGTTCAATTTCACAGGCTTCCATTAAAAGGATTTCAACACAAAAGAGCAAAATTGTTAGTGTCACATTATACAAAATATCTACATGATACAGCAGAATGAGTACTAAGAAATTAGATACGACCTAAAGAACATAAAATGTATTTTGTTGCAAAATCTGTGATCTGTGTAATTAATTCTGCAATAATAATCGTTACCTTAGGCACAGCAGCTTGGAAAAGAAATTCAGTCATTGGAGTTGTTGATTCATTAACAGCAGTCATTGTGATAATTGTTGTACCAGGGTGATCTGGTAACCGTTCCATTGAAAATGTGATCTTTAAACCATTTTTATCATAAGCAATTATGCTTGGTATACCTGCACAGAAAAAAATAATACTTTTACATCTGAAAATTTTAAATAAATTACAATCAGAAGGAGGATTAATGAATGGGTACAACAAATAAATGTCCATGGCAGCACTTTTAGAGAAACAGTTAATTTTTCAAATTGAAATGTACACAAATAAATAATTTTTATGTATGTAATTGGTGTGGGTCTATTTACGTTTTAATTTATTACATTTAATACAAAAAATTAAATCTTTTACTCTAAGAGAATTTTTGAACTGTCGAAATTCTTTTTCACTGATATTTTGTTTCATAAATGTTGTGATACTTTTGTTTTAACAAATTATTTAACTTGCTTCTATCAGACAGATCTGCAAAAGTGGTGTTTGGTATTCTTAGGCCAAATTAAGACGTTTAATTCTAATTGCAAAAAGTACATATTAAAATGAAATATATAAACAAAAACAAATCATAGTGTATTTTTACGTTTAGTATAGAGCATCATTGTGCATAAGTTGTCGCCTACTAAATCCTTCCATTTCTGAATTATGATTAATTATCATAATTCAGTAAAATACAGGGCATAAGTCACATATTTTGATTATTGCCATTCCTAAATTGTAATTATTTTGTTGAAATAGAAATAGTTTAGAAAGGAAGAATATTGAACAAAAAAGATAATTTCTTTGCCATTTTAATAGAATCCCTCTGGATACATAGATAAATATTTCATTCTGTAACAAATTAAAATCGAAATATGGTAATTTTTAAAAATACAACACTTATAACTAAATTTTTTACTTTCACATATTCAATAACTTCAGAAATTGAAAGTTGTTTAAACGTTGCCCTTTTTACAACATTTAGGATAACCGAATCCAGTGGTTTTGAAAGAAACTGTCATTTGATAATTTCAATTCAAATGGTAATACTATATGCTGTATGCTTCATTGATCTTTATTTTTCTTAAACATTGACATTTACATCAATTTAATTCAAAGAAATAAATAAATGCCAGGCGAGAAAATTGGGCACATAGCGCCTTTGCCATGTTGCAGTCAACATCCCTTTCAAGCAAAAATAGTATGTTAAGATATAAGATTTTTTTTCCCAGTACTTCAGAAATTCAAAATCATTTCAGTGTGTTACGCGTGGTATGGCCTGATATCATACGTTCCTTTCCTCCCCCTCCGTTTCAGAGCAGTTAGGCAAACTGCCGTGATTAACAATACAGAGAAGTCAGGTGTGGATTGCTCAAGTAATGTACATATGACCTGCATTCATATTAAGGGTGATAATTGTGGCCCTCAAGGCTTTGCAAGTTCGACATCCCAGATTTGGCCAATTTGCTAAAGCATTGAACACTCATGGCAAAGGCATATTCAAGACTTGTAACAATGTGAAACTACTTCTAGAACCATACTTAGCTGTTGTATGCCTGTAATTAAGCCACAGAGAGACTGGTATGATGCAAATGGTGGTTGATCCATATTGAAGTTAATGGGACACATGCTGATTTTTTCAACTACCCTGTTTTACTACCCTGTATAGTCTAAAATGCTAAAATAATCTAAGACTCACGCTCTGAAATGCTCTAGTACTACAATTTAGATACATAACAGCAATTAGGTGATAAAAGTTTCTAGCAGATGTAACCAGTTATCTCCAACAGGGGCCCTGTGTGCATGGACACAATAATTGGTGTGTTCTAGACACACAAAATAAACTTTGGATGTTAATGAGCTAAAACTATTTTAATTAGTATGATTTATTGGTAGACGAGGATGGAAAAAGTAATACTGCCCAGATTGTCAAATAAATAAATCTACCGCTCGTCATAATTATAACTTACTATTCACAACTGGCTGACTACTCAGAAGGCCATCCACAAGAAAGTTGGTTTGGTTGGAAGTGAACAGAATGTTGTTGTTGTTCTGTACATTAATTTGTGGAACCTGATTTGCTGTACCTGTGCCACTTGTGTCCAAATCACCTAAAAACATGAATTCATACATAGCAAGTCATCAAACCACAACTATTAAAGTAAATAAATTATATATTTAAATAACCTCATCCACTACAACTTGGATAAGTTTGAGAAAGGGAAAAACGATTTTTTCTGTAAGATAAAAACAATTATTTCCTTTACCAAGAAGATCGAGAAGGTCTTGATTATCAGTCCCAGTAGATTTGGGAAGCTCAACTTTATCACCACCCCCTTCTTCAATAACTTCAGAGCCTCCAAGTAGCACCAGAAGAGCATTCTGTGGAAAAAAAATCAAATTTGCCTTTAAAAGTATTGTCATACATTTTCAAAAGAATGTATACCAAGGTGGTCATTAATTTTCAGTAATTAAAAAAATTACCACATACATCCTAGTTCTCTCCTGATATATTTCTGAATACTAAACAATCTTTTGTTGCGTTTGAATTGTACCACCAATCACATTACAGCTAGTTGTACTATATCATAGCACAGCATTATCTGTAAGGTTCTATTAAATTACAACATTTATATTGCAATGCAATTACTACAGATGTTTCAGCCATCTCTTGCTATAAATCCCATTAAACTGCTTGAAATGTACTCATGACTATTCTTTGTATCTTCTAAACCCCAATTTATAAACAAAGTTGACCCTTTCGTTGCATACATGGCCAGTAATGTGCTTGATAACACCATAGCATATAGAAAAGGAAACGTGATCACTCTTATAAATCCCTGTATATTTGGTAGAGCCCCTTCAGTTTCAAATGTGGCCTTTGCCATAGTAGCATGGCGACCGCCAATTGCCAGGAAAACATTAGTTGAGAAGTACAATTTAAACATTTTGTTGTTTTCTTTGGTAGCATAGCAGAATGTATAATGCCATTTCTGTATTTTGTATAGTTTTGAATAAGTATTTCAGTTGTTACTACAATTCAGTATTCATGTCATAGTTATTACAGTTTTTTATTACATAGAATAAAAGTGGCCTTTCAGATTTAAGTTACGAGCTGATTATTTTTTCTTAGTGTGTATAATCATAAAACATGTAGATAATAATTATAAAAGATGTAATTTAAGAGTTTGTAAATTAAATTTTTTTATTAGTGGTGCATATGGGATGACAATTTGTATCAATGCAATAAGAAAATTGGCACTTTAGAAGATTATTCTGACAATTAAAATTCTATTTGGCCTTTATTCGGGAGGCACATTAAATGAAATACAAAGATTGGGGTTTCAACAAGATTGATCACGTCCTTTCAAGATTAGCTGAATGCAAATGAGCCTACCGAGTCCTGCGCATCATTTTCTGTTTTTTTGCTTCCATCTGTTCCCAAAAGAAGACTGCCATCCTCTCCAAAACCTTCCCCATCCTCTGCTTCTCCATTCGTTAGGACTGCTGAACCATTATTAGGTCGAGCACCTTCCATTGGTGGCATTCTTTCCAGAAGAGCAGGCCGCAAGTGTTCATATTTTCGAAACAATTGAGAAAATTCAACTCCTCTTTGTTGTAATTCAATGTTCAAATGACTGCCAAATGTGTCCACTATTTGACGAATTTTACTACAGAAAAATGAATTCATTTTATAAATTCTTACGTTTGATAGTATTTTGGGAATAAGCAAGATATTTATTTGCACTTACTCGTTTCCAGCTTGAAATCTTGAACTTAATTTCATTAGGGAAAGAAGGGCATACTGTTTTGTGACAATTGTGTTCTGGGTTGACCACAATAACCTTTGATATACAGTAATAACGTCATCTTCTGATACCTATTATTGAAAACCAAAAACAATGCACTCTTTTAGGTAATGATTATAAAATCATCTAGAAAAAAAAGTTTTTATAAAAACACTGTAAATGTATCAACAAAGAAATTATGAGATGTACCTTGATGGCAACTTCTTCACTAGTTGAAGGTCCATACAAAAGCAGATCTCCATATTCTCCTATGCACCAAGTTGCTACCTGGATAAGTGGTTGTCTGTCTTGTGTATCTCTTTCCAATGCTTGCCATAACTGTTCCACTATGTACCTCTGTTGTGATGTTGATTCTGATATTAACTGAATAGTACATGCAACTACATCATCCCGAACATAATTACCAGCCTAAAATGGAAAATAGCTGTGTCAAGTTCCACTAAAAAATACTGCAGTATTTACAATTTATGAAATATACTATTCATAACTGACTTACAGCAACAAGAACTTTCAACAGAGTGTCAAGATGCCAACGTTTGTTGGGTGAAAAACGTTCAGCAGCTAGGACTATATTAGAGGAACATTGAGCTTTAAATTCAGGATCAGCTTTTTCCAGGAAAACTAGCAATTCCTTCATCATAGTTCGTATATTGTTTGTATTTACAAGGGCAAAACTCAATTCAAGAGCTCTTCTTCGGATGGAAACATCAGGATCCTAAATTCAAGACATAAAACAAAATGCTGTGGTCCCAAAAGTAGTCTTTTTGGTTAGGAAAAAATGAACAAATTTAACAAAAATTCATGATTTTTAGTTAATTTAATTGAATTAATCATTCAAAAATGCAATTGTGAAGTACTCATACACTTTACCTTCAAACACTCCAGAATGGTACTCCTGTGTCTTTGTACAGCACTTGTATCTATATACACAGTCCTAAGAAGAGTATTTAAAGCAACATAACGAATATTTTTGTCATTATTTAGTAAAAATCTACCAAGAATATTGACAGCCAAAACCTGCAACACCCAGAAATACAAAATAATAATTATAATAATTATAATAATAATAATAATAATAATAATAATAATAATAATAATAATAACAACAACAACAACAACATCTATTAAAATTAACCATTGAAATGTAGCAAAGGTACTTACCCGTAAACCACTTTCAGACTTTATGTCCATAATGGAAAGAACGGTTTCATACAAAATGGTGTTGCCAACATTTTTACTAGTTTCTGTGTTGGTTGCCACCTGGGCCAGTATGTCATTCATGGCTTCTGATGCTTCAGCATCATTCTTTCCCAATATTCTTAAAAGACGTAGTATCTTTACCTGAACATCACCAGATTCAGAAGAAATGATTAATGTAACACATTTCCTTTTAGTGCATAATTTACAAAGTTTAAAATTAATTTTTTTGCACTTTTATTAAAATTTAATAACATACTTATAATAACAAGCCCTTGCAAGAGAGAGTACTCTAAGTCTCTCATTCATTATTTGGAAATATTACAATTCTCAGTACAATAACAATAACACTGCAATCATCTCAACTGTGGAGCAGCTCACATCAAATTAAAATTAACATTGATGATCTCTCTACCACCAAGACAGCTGAATGAATCTGAACTTACTCATACACATTTTCTTACGACTGACATTAATATCATGACAATTTTCTATGCTCTATTCAATGAAACTGAAGTTAATTTTTCCTTTATTAATATTCCATGGGTACTCTGTGGCAGTTACTGGAAGAAAAGTAACATTACAAAAATTCCAGACTTTATCATAGAATAGCTTTCTTAATTTTCAGGAAAGAAAAGTGAAACTTTGTATATTATCTAAGCTATTTTGTTTGTGAATTGAAAATTTTAACCCCATAGCTCTAACCATTACTTCATAAATTAAGTTTAAAATAGATAATTTTGACCCAAATTCTAAAAACAGAGAATTTTTAACTTTAAAGAAAAGTACCTTCTAGAAATTCTTTCAAACCTGTTTCATTAGAACGAGCAGGTTTGGAAGCTTTTAGAAAAGTTCTTTTGATTATCAAATGGAAGCGTAAGGCTCAGTAAAGGGAAACTATGAAACAATATTGCCAAAAAATATTAGTGTACAATGAAAATTCTACTATTTTATTCTTTTATAGTTTCCTTAATATACAAAGTAAGAAAACTGAAATTTATCTCATAATATCTCAATATATCAATGTCTTTGAATGCATAATTTCAACTTCCTAGATCTCATCCTTATTGTAAAATTAATTCTAAAGCTGATGATTTTTGCAAATGACCTCAAAATAGTGTGTTTTCATCCCTAGTATAAGAAAAGAACTTTTATGAAATTTTTTAAAACATATCTGATTTGAAAGAGCCTATTTGAAGGCCCTAAAAAAGTGGATTTGTTTGCCAATGCTAACTCACAATGCACACAATTAGAGACTAATTTGGAAGGCAGTGCACTGCAGCAGGTTATATTTAATGAACAAAATTCCTGATGGAATTTGCCACTTATTTTGTTGTACAGTCGTTGTAATTGCCTTTATCATTTCCCATTTAAGATCTCAAACTAACAACTTCATTGCCATAGGGGTCATATCGGAGAGCTGTGTTATACCAGATATGATTGGCTCTCTTCTAGCAGAATATCTTTTGGTTCCCAAATGAATGTTTGAACACCATTTTCTAGGTTTCAAATAACACAAGAGTTCCTAAACATCTATATCCAAATACAATCTCTCTTATGACTCCCAAGCAGAACATTGCAGATCACATCTGGTGTCACTCAGTCACTCAATCGCTGAGTCACCGAGTAATGATCTGAATCATTTACATCCTATTTTTCAGATTGCTAGGAAAATAAACAATAACAATTTCACAGGTTTCTTTATAAGTAACTCACCTGCAAGAATGGATCACTGACTCCAGAAACATCATGCTCTGGAGAATATCCTGCCAGGATGAGATTCTTCAAAATTCGCACCAAGTTTGGAACAATCTGAAAATTTCCATATTAATCCTTAATATCAATTAAAATACTAAATTAATAGCCACAATATTAATAATGAAAAAAAAGCTGTCTCTATTCCAGATTAAAAGCTGTCATTTAAAAAAAATTAGTTGTACAAAGGTAATAGGTCATAAAGATATTATTAATAGCTTCGTCATATTAATTTAAATCTTCGTTGCTCTTGATCAAAGTCCCATAAAACTGAGATGTCACTTCAACAATGTTTAAAACCTGCTACGTTGTAGTACTCATCAGAATTTTATTTTCAAATATTATATTCAAAGGCAGCATTAAATATTCACAACCTTTTATATTTCTTACATGACTGTTAGAAACCTTAGAAATTATACTTAGAGACAAACAACAACAAACTTATTCTTGTCTATAGTGTCAAAATTAAGAAAAAAATGTTGCTATCTGCATTTTCCGTATTTACATGCTTGTTGAGCCCTTACACAATACATTCCATCCATATTTTAAGAACCAGATATTAAATGTTGAAAATGAATAAATATACATTTCTTTACATTTAACCCCTAAAAACACAGTAAATTCATATGAACTTCTAAAAACTCTCAGTGAACTCAGCCAAAAAACAAAAGCATTTTTCTTTAAAATGTTATTTTATGCTAATATTCTGGTAATTATTTTATTAATAAATATTAATTAAATCAAATAAATTAAATTTTATTAAATATCAAATTTTCTGAAATTTATTTTACATAATGCTATAATACTTTTATTATTTGATGGATGCCAATGCCAATGCCAAAAGATTCATTTAGTCAGATTTGTAAATCCAGATTGTTCATCTCATTTTTTCTTCATTTGTAATGGAGAAAAAACAAAACGACACAAGTAAAATGTATTTTCAGCTGCTTTATATTTCTTGAATGAAAAAAATGGCACGAACAGCTCAATTTATGTTGGAATTCTTTCCATTCTTAATTTCAATTCCCTTCATATTCCCTTGTCAAATCATGAATGTTAAAATCATTGACTTTTAAATTGTATTTATAAAATACAAACATCACTGCATTAACATACATTAAAAATAGGGATTACATGTGAGTCGACACAGTTCATCTTTATGTACAACATTGTTCTTCCATCAACACCAGTGACATTTCAATTAGAATTTATAGAAAGACATTCTGGCAATTGTGTCATACTGCAAGTTGTAGAACTTTATCACACTGTGGTGCAAATCATGCAAGGCTACTGTCACCAATAATAAGGAACCTAAATAAGGAACTTCCATGCCTAAAGTGAAATTCACAATCTTTAGTGTACAGTATAGAATCAGTAGAAAATCTTCTGATCATGGCCATCCCTATTGCATCCACTAAATGATATCACTGTAAACATTTTATTTATTGATATTAAAATACACACACAGCTACACTGAAGGTTCTGTACACTGTGAGGTTCAGTCATATTACATAAAATGTTATTTTCTACTATTACAGTTGCCCCTAAATGTATGGCAATTCCTTCACCGCAAGTGTTATAATCACTAATTTTCCCAAATGCAACTACACACCTTATTAACCCTGTCTTTACAAGTCTAGAATTAATCGAAGGTGATTTCAGCATGCTATTGTATATACCTTTCAAGAAAACAAATACAAAATTCAACCGAAATTTTTAGTGAAAAGAACGAAGTACAAATATTTCCTCTTCAAGTCATATCAATTCTCTTTCATGCTTCCATGCATGCACAATAGCCCAAAATTCCAGCTTAGGTAAAAATAAATAATAATAATAAAAAAAGCCATTTCAATGAGATTCTGGCAGTTTATTGATACTTCTTTTTTCATTACCAGTAGTTCATCAAAGTCGTTAATCATAATTTGTAAGATACAGAAGTGATCACACAAATACCAAATTCAGAAGAAAACAAAAATATTCTGCCATAACCTCTCAAGTTAAGGAGGAAAGTTGACTATATCTTCCATGTATTAAGCAGGTCTACAAATCTTTTAATTTGTGAAATACAAGGCATGCAAATTTCTATCATAAATACAACTTTAAGCACCGTGAGAACAAAAAATAAAAAATAAAAAAAAGAATAAATAAATCATTTAATTAATCTTCTTATTACCTCACAGTGGCTGGAGTCCTAAACACAGCGACGAAAAGAAAAATTCATTCATTAGTGTACTTCCATAAAGATAAAAGAAGTTTCAACAAAAATTGCTTAACAAAGAAATCTCTTATGTTAAAACAAATAATTAATGGGGAAAAACATAAATAAAATAATATTCCTATTCAGTCATTCACGAAGATTATCCCACTTCAAGAGAAAATACAAATGTCATAGTCAGAGAGTATTGCCTTTGTCACCAATATTTGTGAAATTTTGTCATAACAAAATCAGTTAATCAGTTTTACTTTACGAAAAATAATTTTAATAAGATGCAATCAATTCGCTAGACTTCAAGCACCAATAAATTGAAGAAATAAAACAAATTTTCTTTCCAGTGCTCACCAAAATTAATAGTTGTAATCTTAACAAGTATTTCAATACTTGGCTCAATGCAATACTTATTACAAAAAATGGACTAATTATATGAAACGATATTTGGCTGTCTGGGATAAGCTGCATCACAGTGGGACAAGCTGATGTTTTGGCCATCATGTTGTGGCCTCCTTCAGACCAAACCTGCTCAAAGCCGAGCAGTGAACTGAGAAGCAATGCTGAGCAGCATACCTCTGAAGGCCACAACACAATGGCCAAAACATCAGTTCAACCCACTGTGGCACAGCACATCCCAGACAGCCAAGTATCACATGACTCTGGCTGTGGAAGCCTATGAATTAATCTAATTCTATGAAAATTCTTATGAAAAGTTTCTCCAATCTTTGTCAAATTTGATAATAATCAAATGTTCATTTTGTTTATTATGAGTTGGGAAAACACTGAAAATGTAGGCGGGGTGGGGACAATGAAAACAATGCACCAGTACCAATGACAAATTACAACTTATTAAAATGAAAGATTAATTTGCACAGAACACAGTTGTGTACTTAATTGGTGAAAGAGTAAAGTTGTCCTTTCCCTAAATTGCCTCTTTTTTAAAGATACTATTATTCTACATTTTGCTTGTAGTCAGCCATTTTTTTGCTAAATGAAGCAGAAAGCGTCAACTACAACCTCTGCTGACTACCACCTAGCTGCCACACAATAAAAGTTCCATGTTATTCTTTTGAGATGCACTCGGTTGAGCAGACAATTAGGAAAGCTCCCCCACCAGTTGTTATGAGAATTCTCTTACACGATACAATGGTTACAAGAGGAGGTGGGATACTCATTTTTTTGTAAGAAAATATTAATGGCTTTTGTTATCCATCTTTATTTGTTTTCAATCTCTTCTTTTTAAGTCAACATATACAGGGGTGAAGAAAGTAAATACCCTCTAATGTTCTCTCTCTGGCTTTTGCAATGTTCTAAAAAAATTATCTAACTTCTCAAAGAAAAAAATATTACGAAATTATCTGTGTTTAGAGCTTACACGTTCTACCCACACTTCGTGTGGAACATTCCATATTGAAACCACACTCAGATTCCCTTCTAATCAATAGTTTACCTCTCAAGTGCCTTCACTTGTTTCATTAATGTATACCTTCAAATCATCTGAGGCATATATACCCGATATAAAAATTACACCACATGTGGCTCGGTGGCACCATGTCCTGAATGCATATTCTATTCCAGGGAGGCAAGTTTTTATACAGATCATGATTCCCACAGAAAACATATATAGTAATCTCTGAACTATTTGATCTCACTAAGGCCCGAATAATTGTTTTTTGGTCTTGCGTTGACAGTGTGACAGGGTTGTTCTTTTTATTTCATCAACAAGTCCTCTTTGATTTGAAATTCTGTAGCTACAGTCAACAAATCATTCCTCTTACAGTTCCTCTGGAGAGCAAGCACAAGCATTCCGCTGATATCCACTAACTCACCAAGACTGAATTTTGCACATTGATAAGTACAATTCAAAAGTATGAATATTGAGCATGAGTAAAATCACATTCAATAACCTTCAAACAAAGTTTCTGAAGTCTTCCCCTGGGATGCATACCCAGAAAGATAATAATGTTTCAATATAAGCCTATCTGATAATCCTTCGAGTTTATTTGCCACTAATCTCACCCAAGTAGTCTATTAGCTAGGGAGAGAAGAAAGACCCTTTGTTTTGACACTCAACTTTTCTTTTGCTTTGACAAGTAATTTGTAATTGGCTTGGCTTATTAAAAATCTGTTCTTTTGTTTGTGGAAATGAAAACAGATACTCAGACATAAATAAAAGCTGCACATTTCACTTTGCATTCTAACCACAAGCTACTCATGTATGGAACTCATGACATCATCAGGTATTGGTGTCCCTGCACAATCTGAATCTAAACAACTCAATGTGGTTTCAAGTAATACTACAGGAGAATAATGCAATTTGGAGTTTTAGTTGTGTAACATTTAGGGTAGGTTGGGTGAATGAAGAGGTAGTGACAAATACAACGATGATGATTATGAACACTGATTATTATAAGGAACAAGAAAATTGAGATAAATCAGGCAAAATGGTTTAATCTTCTCAACAAAAGAAAAATATTTTTGTAGGTAAGACAAATTGAGGTTTTTTTAACAATAAGTTAAAAATGAAAAAAGCTTATCAGGTCATAATATCAGGTTAAATCACCTTGTATTTGCACAAATACGTAATTAGCTTCACTGAAACATGGTTAGATCAGGAATTTTACGCAAGCTTAGTTGACCTTCCTACAACATTTATAGGCAATATCAAGACAATGAATTAAAATAGAGGGAAGTCTCTTGATAGTTCTGTGTTGAAACCTGAAGTAAATTTCATTAAAAAACTTCCAACAGACAGAAAAATTCTTAACATATGATTGAAACAGATTATACGCTCCTAATTCACCAATCAAAGTAAATGTTTACCAATTAATGTTTAACAATTATAAATGTTTTACCAATTAATTTTTATTCTTTTGTAATTATCAGCATCTAAAATTTACCAAAAATGAATTGAAACAATGACATTTCTCATATCGTTCTAATCCCTGGTATTGATTTTTTATCAAGTACTATGATAAAGCCATGATGATGTCAAATTGTTAGAATCTAAACAACTATCTCCAAATAAATGATATTGTGAAGTATTAGATTTATGTTTTGCTTCTGATAGAAACAGTTGAAACCATCAATCCTCTATTAAATTGTGATCACTATCATCCATCTCTTTTGACCGATATCTGATATTATTGGTAATTGTATGGAGGACATTCAGTAAGTTATCTACCTGAGCATGAATATGAAATTTGATATAGATCTCATAACTTGACTCATCTCGTAACTTTCTAATCATTTAACTTCAACACACTTGGTCTGTTTAGTCCCCAGTGATTGAATGCTCTCATAAAAAAGGAAACATTTTGACTGTTCAGATACCCCATTACAGCTTCCTTAACTGCTTCATTATCAGAAAATCGACACCCATAGAGAAATTTTTTAATGTTTCAAAACAAAGTCACTAGGAGCCAATCTGGTCTATATAGTCAATGATTTATCTGTACAAAGCTTCAGTCCTTCAAAGTTGCTTATGATTTGCATGCTGGTGCAACAACACACCAGCATACAACTTCAAATGGCACATCTGTTTGACAGACTTGCGTAAAATCTTCTAGTCAAAGAATATTTGACTCTATTGATGATTGTCTTGTTTGGCATGAAATCTACCAGCAGATCATCTTCTGTATCACCAAAGCGGTGGTCATGATATTTCCAGCTTACTTCTGCACACGAAATTTTTGGGGTGTTGGAGCCCCTTTGTACTTCCATTGCATGAACTCTTGCTTGGTTTCAGGATCACAATGTTTTTTCTCCTGTTCCAATTCATGAGTAAAAGTTACCTGGATATTCACTAAGCAAGTCCAAATTATCTTTGCAACATTGCTGGTGAAATGCTTTCTGCCCAAGAGTCAACATTTGTAGCACCCAACAGGAATTGACCTTCGACATCATCAATTCTGTATGGATGATACTATGAACCATGCCAGCTGACATGGCAAATTCATGCGCATAATACTGACCTTAACATGACAATGTTCAAAAATCATGCTCTCCACTTTTTGGCACATTTCTTTTGAAGATGCTTCCACAGGTTGCCCTGAAAGAGGGGCATCTTCAACTGAATCTCCCCTGTTAAATTGCTTGGCCCACAATTTTACTTGATAATATGAAAGCGCATCATCACCATAGACGACATTCATCCTCTCGTGGATTTCTTTAGGCTGCTTAGAATACTTTAGGCTGCTTTGAATTAGGCTTTCCTTCTTTTGTAAGGAATTTTATCCGTTAACAATGTTTGAAATCTTTCATTTTCTCTGCTGACCAGCATGGCAATGCACTTGCCGTCATCTTACATCAAGACCTTATCGCAGACCGATTTGCTTCTAAGGCCGGAGCATACCAAGACATGTCCCAACCTGCCTGTGCACACTCAGCTCTCTAACAATGATGTAAAATACAAAGTATATAATTTATTAAACATCCTTCTTATATTTTATGTACAATGTTTTTGTTATTCTTATAGCAAACCACAAGGGATTGTGTAACGTTAAAAGAAATGGTAGGGGGGATGTTATTTTAGTGTTAGTTTGAAAAAGCAGAGAATGTTTGTTAGAAAACAGAAATTTTAAAAAATAAAATCTCTAAATTGTAATCTTACTGAATTCAAGTCCTCGACCTTTCATGTATTTTCACAATTGATAAAAAAAACATTTTTATAAAATCTAACATTTTTATTTCCAAATTTAAACAGGATCTTCATTAATTTTATTCTGATTTTAAAAAAGCTTAATATAATATTTTTAGAATGTCATAATTGAACCATTGAAGTCCAATCCAGCCTCCAGTACCAAACCATATTTACAATGTTGAGTTCATGTTTGCTACCTGAACTACTTAGCATGGCATGCTGACAGCGTGGAATATCGATTGAAGGGTTTCTGTTTCTTTGTGCATGTTTTTTGAAGAAACAATTCATTTACAGTTCATTGTCTTCTATGTACAACATATCATATGAAATTATTGTGACTGTCAGACATACTATAAATAAAATGACAGAAATTGCCTTAAATTTAATAAGGCCATTGCTAAATAAGGACCACACTTTATGGATGGACAATTACTACAACTCCCCATTATTAGCTGTGATGTTTAAAAAATGGGAACAGATTGTGTAGGAACATTACGTTTTAACAGAAAAATTTGTCCTAAAATATTGTGGGGAAAGAAATTGAAACGAGGTGAGTACATCATCCAACACTCAGGCCCAGTTTCAATGTTGAAATGGATGGATAAAAAGGCTGTTTCTGTATTAATCACCTACCACAAGGATGAATCCAAAACAGTCATTACAAAGAGAAAAGAAGAAATTAATAATCCTGCATGCATTCTCGATTAGAATAAATCTATGGGTAGATCTGAAATATCAGTACTTGTAAATATATCTTATGGAAAGGAAGAAAAGCAAGAAACGGAATATGAAAATGTTCAGAAGATTACTAAATGTCACTGTGTTGAATACTTTTATTATTTCGAGAAAGAATCATACTGGAACAAGAATCAAAATCTTCGAAGTTTCGTATTGATCTGGTCGACCAATTGTTTTCTGCTCATTCACCTGGCAAAAGAGCAATATGTAAACATTATTTGGTGACTGATTTTCACCACTTGTCAGAAAGACACTTTCTTTAAAGTTTTCCACCTCAAGGCAACAAAATAAAACAACAGAAACGATATGGGGTATGTCACAAGAACAGGAGACATCAAGAACCTACATTCTAGTGCCCAGATTGAAAGCTTGACTTTACCCTGACACTTGTTTTAAAAGCCATCATACCATTGAAAATTATTAGGAGTATCTGTAAAGAAAATTAGTGTAGCTTATTTTTAATTATGGTCTCTCTTACTAACATTGATGTAAATGAATGAAAGTGATGTACAGTTATTTTAATTTTTCATTTCCTCAATGTCATTATTAATTAATCATTATCATTGATTATCATATTATTGAAGGTGTGAAGTAATGCATTCTCAGGAAAGAGCACATTATTTGTGGCATAGCATTAAAATACAATCAAATTTTCTTTAATCAACTTGTCACTCAGAAAAAACTATTAAGCTGGCTCTTCACTCCTGATAAGTTGTCACACATAAATTCTTTTTTGAAAACCCGCCTTAAAGTGTAGCCAAATAACTTAAAATCTTCACAGCAAACATTGACAAAAATGACAACTTGCCTACTAAAGCACTTTTGGTACCTTTTAAGGTTTCTCATAAAATTGTCAAATGTAAAAAACCTCACAGAGTTGGCAAAACTCTTAATTTAGATTCATATTACCATCAGTTGTTATTGTTTACACAATGTTTGGAGATTGTTTCACACAACAACTAAAATTCATTCTTCTTTCCAAACATCTGTAACATGGCATATATCAAATATTTTTGGCAGAGTGGACTTTCGAGGTGAACAATGGCAGTATACTCTCAACACTGAGGCAGGTTACTAGTGGAGTTCCTCAAGAAGCAGTTGTTTTTTTTAACGGCCACTACTATGCATCCTATACATGAGCAACATAAGAGATGGACTACCATCAAAATGGAACTGCTGATGACACCAAATTATATGCTAACCAATTGGGTCCGTTTGAGAGCAACTGACGTGTATCTTAGTTACGTTTTGATAAATCAATTTAGATCATCTGACGGGTAAGTTATCTTTTGTTATTTTATTTTTAATATCAATAATGATGTTTTTTCTGGATTGGTTGTTTGTGTGAATGAGTATGTAATTTTTTTGGATTGAAATATTGTGTCTCTTAATTCTTTTAATATTGTTATAAGAATTATTTTGGATTATAAGTCGTTATTATTTATAAGATTTGTTATATATATTCCTTCTTTAGTAATTTATTTACTGAGACTTGTTAGGAATTTTAGGAAATTTCATTTTGGGGTGTATTTTACATAAAGGCCCTGGGTCATTTTCAACAAAATGGTGAGATCAATTTGGATTAAATTTTGTTGTTGGATAGTCTGAAGTATATTTAAGAAAATGGCGCAGATCACATATTGGTTAAAAATTCTGATTTTTCGAAAATTGCAAAATTTTAACAATAAAATTTGGTATCTTCCTACAACTAAAATATTAAAGATAGATACATTTTCCCATAAGGATATCTGTTCCTTGAGGATAGATTTTAAAATAAGATCATGTACAATTTTTCAAAAGTTTGAGTTTGATTTAAGTATTTGAGTAATTTTGAGTGAAATACATGCAATTTTTAATTTCTGCTTAAGAGCTTCTTTTCAAAAACGGCTCCATAATTTTTGAGGAAATTCTGGTTATGGATTGTCTGAAGGATGTTTAAGAGAATGAGGTAGGCCTCATGTTGGTTGAAAATCCTGATTTTTTGAAAATTGAAAAAATTCAAAATGTTTTTCAGTGTCTTCCTACAACTACAATTATGATGATGCAATTCCCCCCCCCCTTAATTAAATGTGTTCACCAAAAACAGATCCTATAATAAGGTCATATTTGATTTTTCCAAACTTCTTTTTTGCGTAAATTGGAAAAGAATTAGAAATGGGAAATTTAAATTTCCAGCACTTCATTTGAGGCAGTGTCAGTCTCTAAATTGAGAGGCAGAGGCAGTTGGATATTCTGAAAATCTTTCCTCATTGTTTAACTTTATATTACAAATTGAGTACACATAAGATGTGAAAATATATATTATACCTAATTATATTTGTTGCAATGAAAATGCATTTTACATAAGGGTTACAAATATTGTGTGGAGGAACACGATTTCAACAACCATGTGTTTGAAGAACAAAGTGATATCCAGGTGATCAATTTGGAAGATTTATGAATTTGAGCCATTCATCAGGCCCTTGAGATCATTCTTTATTAGATTAATCTTGATAAATAAGCGCATGGTGTTGCCAACTTTTATTTTTATTTTAATTATAATTTACTTATAATTTACCTTTGAAAATAATTTTGTTCAAACTTTTATTTAATGTACGATAATTTGAGACACACGTTTCAGCTATCTGGCCCCTCTGGTTTTGAAGTTGCAACAATAGAAATGTCACGATACGGTCTGCAGTTCACAGAATAATCTTTCATTGTCAGGCGGTGTTTCAAGAAGAGTGTTTCTTGTGAACGAAGGAGTTATCGACAACAACGACACAGTGGATATTAAGAGTGGATTTCTACTTTGTATTTCTGGTGTTAATATAACGAAAGGTGAAAAGTCATTCGAATGCTGTCATTCGAATCTTGAAAAGAAGGAATATTACTTTTAATATTATGTAATCATTATCTCTACTTTAAATTGCATTGATATCAGGAGATTAAAATGATGCTAGCCATTGGTTTGCATTAATATAACTAATAATTTTATTTATGGCTAAAATACGTCATGAATGCACGGAATTCAATTGCAGAAAATTGATTTCATTTAACGCTGAAATTTTTTTTCAATTATGAATTTTTCGTGCTTGTTTTTTAGGAATTTTTAAAATGGTATTTGAAGTGTCTGACAGAAATTTTCATATTACAATATCACATTGCCATTAACAATATCACAAGAAAGTACATGCTGATGCAGTACCAATAGTTATAGATAAGTTTTCAGTTTTCAAGAAACTTCATAAAAATCATTTCAACCACTTGTACTCACAAAGTTTATAGTGTGTACATAATGTAAATATTAGAGACATAAGAAATATTACAAAACAGTACATGTGTGTAATTATTGAGAAGTCAGAAGAAAACATGAAAATAAGTTCACATTATTCAGTGCTTTAGCACTATCTATACCAAAAATTTAAAGAAAAAGTTTACAGCCATTTTATAGAAAATCTTGTTTTTAATATTGTCTATAATCCACACAAAATTACCTGATAATAATAATTTGTTGCAAATTGTTCATGACTTTTTTAAAGCTTCACCTTTGAAGAACACATTTTAAAAATGAAAAAATCTCCTCTTCAATACTGTAATTGTTGAACAAAATAGTAATAATTTTTAACTTTTGCTATTTTCGAAAATTTAGGGAATCGAACAATAAGGAGTCATGCACTGTTTTTATAAGTATATTTAATTCTGCCTGAGAACAAATTGTAAACAAAAAATATGAAGCAATTTTTGAGAAAATTTTGGAAATAACGTTGAGGCTTCATGTAAAGTACCCCCCAAAATCAAAATATCCAATGCAAATTCGAAGTCCATGACATCAGCTGGACCAATTCAAGAATCTAAATTTTGGTGAAAACACTACCTATGGTTCAATTGGTAGCATCGTTTACATATAAAGACATTTTGCCATAAACTAATTTTTCGGTATCAAGGAGTCATAAAACAGGGATTCTAACTACATAACGTGTTAAGAAGAAGTTATTTACTACATATAGGAACATGAATTTTCCACTTTTTCAGTTTCAATGGCCTACAAAATTAGTATTTCTTTAAAAAAAATCACAGTTTTTTGCTGCAGCATTGCAATACCATCTCTAAACTACATATGTAGTATGCCAGAAAGCAAAAATACATATAGTATTGGGCCTGATGAGACCTGAGAAAGCTTTGAAAGAATGTGCTTCATTCGCGTAGCCTCGATCTATTATTTATTAATAATGATTGGGAACTGAAATGTTTCTACTAACAGGGAAAACATATTTTATTACTTATGCTATTTTTTCTAGTTTATGTAAGAAGAGTAAAAGAAATATATAAATACGTGAATAAATAAGGAAAAGACCAATTAGAAGTCTGTTTCATAGTGAAAGTTTCTGAAATCATTGTACTTCATTATTAAAAACCCCCAATTTAAAAGAAAATAAAACAATAAAACAAAAACATGGATTTATGTCTGGTAGATCTACGCTTCCTATTTTCTTACTTTCTAAGCTAGCCACTTTTCATAAGCAAACAGGGGAATTAGGTTTTGGTAAAACGCAAGCATTAATGACAAATAAATTACCTTCAGCCCTTTGACACACTTCAAAGTGCTTGACAAAGATTGGAAAAACAAGTGATATTGTTTTTCTAAGAATTTAAAGCTCTATTTCATTCAGAGTACTGAAAATGTTCAAGTCCTAATACACAACAAATAACACAATTCCAAGTAAATATTTACTAGCACAACAGATGATATCAAAATAAATAACTACATGAACAAGCACATGTCCAAGAACTGATAACAGTAAGAATAAGCAAAATCCAGATTATGTTCAAATTACCAGCACTAAGGAGCATTCTTAATTTATCCAAAAAAGAGAAAAACATTACTCCAATACTTTGTAATTTCCTAAATGTTTGAGAAAAGGCATTAAGGACATGCTGGCTTGAATGTAGTGGACAATTATTCCAAAAATTCTTAAAATCAAGCAAGGAAACTAAGTAGGATTCACTCAGAACTTCCAAAAGCACATTACTTATTAAAAACTACGTAAGTCCATAAAACTGCAGAATTGGATGTAGGATGCAATGAAGTCTACTAGTATTTACCGAGACACCAAACAAAATGGTTAATACATTTTTCCACCTCAATGTTATCATTGCTTCAATAGGATACCTAAGTTTCTTACCTTTTTAAAATGCTGTAATGTATCAGGACTGTTCTCACACATTTCAGTAATAAGAGTAACCCCAGTTATCAGCACACCTTTAATAAAGAAATACAGCAATAATTAAATGACTATATAATTTTATTTTTGAATTAATTATTAGATTATATATTAAAGGCTGGAAAATTTTCTTACCATGATTCTTTTCAGATAAAAGTGATCGTGTAGCAGGGAGAAATATCTCCATTAGCTCAGGAACTTTACGTATAATGCGAAAAGCACACAGGGCAGCCTTCTTACGAATATAAGCATTAGGTGACTTCATTAATCTTTCCACTTCAGCAGCTAAATCACGAGACATTTCAGGTGAAGCAATGGCACCTAGAGTGCAGAGGGCCAATCCAACCACAAATTGGGTGGAGCTGTTAAGGTCACTAAGAAAAAGAAAATTTTAATGGATTAGAAATCAATACTTTATAATAGCAGCAGCAGCTTATACAGCACCAGCAGCACTTTAGATAACAACTCTAGAATTAAATTTCAGATCTTACTAATTAACCCTCCAAGTACTGTGAGGTCGTTGATGATCCAAGTCTCTTGGAAATTTTACAGAAATTAATTAAAAACTTGAGCAGATTTAATTGTGGCTCAATGAATTTTTTTATTTTATTTCGTTTTCATTGAATACATTTATATATACCTTACATTATGTAATGATTCCTAAAAAATGTATTTGGGGTTCCTGCTATACCCCCATGATATTTTCTGTAACATTTTTCAGAATAAAATGCTCGATTTTGTTTGATAATATTGTGCTTCTAACAAGCGTAAACACAATTTGATCTTTTTCCTATCGAACAACAGATGCCAACTAAAAGGACTTTTAAGTTTGTCAGAAAAAATCTCGGATGGTTATACAAGAATTAATCTCTTCAAATATTACAAATAAGGTCCTTTACCACTTTATTGCAATTGAAAAAATTATTTTCATAAAAATATTTAATTCTGAGTGCTTATTTTATTTATTGACAAAATAAATAGCAAGAATCTACATACTTTTTCAAGCAATTGGTAATGAGAAGATGTACATCCTGCCTTTCATCTAAAAGTAACATAGCACCCAAGTAACCAATACGTTTATCAGTAAAACGGGGTGATGCTATCAATTTTAAGCATTCTAACTGTCCAAAATGAGCTGGATACCTGGAACAGAAAAAACATTTTGATTTAAACAGTAACTTTATAATCAAATAAATTGTGAAAAATAATATTGAAACTATCAGGTTAATAGTAAGAAAAATGTGAAAATGTCTACAGGATTATCATACAATCAGCGAACTACTAAGCACATAATCACAAACACCAAACATATACCGGTATTCTAAAAAACAGACTGTTAAAGAGAAGTAGTGGAGGACTAACAAAGAGTAAAAGACACAACAGTCATTCACAACCAGAATGAAAATGTTAACAAAATTAATTGATTTGCATACATCCCTATCCAGTAACACACACATACGGTGCATAAATGGAAAACAACAACATCCATCTTTAGAGTATTATATAGAGAGAGGATAATTGTAGAAACGCCTATTTTTAAAACACAATTGCAAAAACAAAATCAGACTCCATAACATTAGAACTAAGCCGAACTAAGCATGTTCAATATTAAAGAATACTATTCAATATTAAAGAATAAAGAATAAAGAACTAATGCTGCACCAAGAAATTGGTCTACTAAACGCCCATTTCACAAAATGGGTAAAAGACAAGATCAAATATGAAACAAAGACAACACACAACATATAACCAAACTATCATTCAAGAGATAGAAAAATACCAAGTGAAATGGCAAAGGAATACAACAAAAGAAGGCACATAAAAGGCCTTCCAAATGTGATCACACATTCAGGCTGTGAGAAACAAATGGGAAGACCATAAAGACCTTAGTATCAAGTGACAAAATACAAAACAAATTAAAGGAACACGCCACAACCATTAATACATTTATCGATTGTAATCTTTACATTTTCAGATTTTTCGAATTGCACAGTATACAACTTTATTCAAGCATTGATATTCATATTATAAAATAAACATTACTTTCAGTTTTGAAACTCAGTATAGTATTAAAGGATACCAGAATTGTAATACTCTGTCAGTATTAAGTTCAATTCTCCTCTTGAAGTAGATTTTGGAACATATTAGGATTGGTCAGGGTGCTATGTTTCAGATAGTTTGACATAGCAAGTTTTCCAAGAGTTTGTTGAAATACTAAGTCATTTATAATTATTATTATTTTACAAATGTGTTTCAGATATTAGAAGATCTGTTCTAAGTTGTAGCACCACTACTTAAAAATTAAATAGATTAACCTAAATTAAATGTAAACGGCAGATGGAAACTTGTTTATATTACGAAAGTTGGAAGGTACAATTGATTGATTGATGTTTCTGGGTATGTCAACAGATATAGCAATAAGTCTGTTGGTGTAGAGGGCGTTTTATCTAGGGAGGAGGCAGTGTTCTTCCCCGGCTAGATAATGAGTTTCAGTATATTTCTACATGAAGGCTTGCAGGAGAATTCTCCGTAAGATATGAGTATTTTCTCCTTAAAGCATGGGGCACACCATGCCCAACCAGGATAAGCTCTTAGCTGATTTCCCAACAAGTATGGTGGTGTATAGTATGTAAGTTTAAGGGAATAAGAGAAGACTATGTGCTCTATTGGATAGGGTACTGCTCTGGCATTCACTTAGTATTGATTAGAGAAACCACAGAAAACTACCAATTAGAGCAGTCGGCCACTAGAATTTTCCTTAAGACAGAGTTTGAATTCAACCTAGTTACCTAGCTAGTGTTGAAAATTCACACAGTTGAGACCCTAACCCCAGGACCTCTCAGTAAAAGAGTCGCTGAAGAAACAAGTGACCCAATTCTCCTGTCTTTGAGCTAACTCGTGGTGGATGGTAGAAAGTTTATTTTATAAACAGAAAATGAGGATTAATGAGGAAAATTAAAACCTAACACCTCTATACCTAAAAAAATTAAAACCTAACCGCTCTACAACACAGCACAGCCTTTTTTCTAGTACCATAAACTAGGGTAAAAATCAAACAGTTTTTTCATTATTTTTCTTTCAGTGGTGGAATTTTTTGGTTTTTGAATATGTTTGGAGGGGTAAGGTTTTAGAATTTGTGATCACTTAAAGAGAGAAATGTTTTGTAAACATTCTAATAAAAAAAAAATGATTTAATATGTTCGGTGTCACATAATAAGAAGGCGCATTTCGAAAAGTTGATATATTTTAATGGCTTTCCGGAATTTGCTTGTCATTGGTTGAAATTGGACTAAAAATCCATTTTTTAAGGAGAGGGGCTCAATTCTTAGTCAAAAATTAAATATTTTTCATCTACTAACATTATTTACAGAATATTGAACCCTTAATGCAAGAGAGCAGCCACATCTCCAAAAAAATTGAATTTAAATCCAATGGCTGTTTTGAAACGACTTCGAGAAAACTTCCAAAGGCTCTCCGGCAAAATGAGTGGTTTTGGAATTGTGGCCCTTTGACATTAGAGATGTGATATCTTCTGAAAAAATAATACTCCTCTTTTCTTGCCCTGGGTTTTTAAGTATTTTAATGAAGTGATTTTTAAGAACTCTTTCTTCATTAACATCATGAAAAATGAACATAGAATGACTTTTCTTTTGATAACCTCTGGTACTGCAGGATACTGGATATCTAGCATGTTTTAGAATTTCTTCAAAGCTATTAGTCCATGATATAAAAGTTTCTTCTCTATCTTTCTACCATCTAGTAATTTACTCAAAACTCGCTTCGAGTCAAAAGAAAATAATGCAGTCGCTTCATAGGCTTTTATTATCACTGATGGGCAGACATTTTTCTTAATGTTTGTTTGAGCAGCACTGGAAATGCATCTTTTGAAAGTGTGCCACACACGTACTTTTTCCATTCTCTTCACACATTCCACGACACATCTTCAATTGCCTGAAAAAGCACACATCTAGAGGTTGTAATAAATGCCTACTGTTTGGACAAAAGGACCACCTTCCTACCAAGAATCCCAGAGATGATCTGTTTGTATAAAACCTAAGGAGGTAAAAGAGTTCCATCATCACCCACAGTCTTCATTATTGATATGCTGGTCTTAGAAGAATTTATTATTCTTTCTGGATGCTTAGACCTTCATTTCATAATGACCAGTTTTCCTGAGATCATCATGTAAGTTGGCTTCATTTCAGATGATTATAATACCAAGAAAGGTGTTCTGAAGACAATGGATGATTTGAAGCAACTCTTCACTGTTTCAGATTTCACTTCAGCATGTGATCTTTTTATATTCACACTTAGTCAAACAGAAATACTGCAAGTACCTGTTCAGAAATGATCTTACTCGATCAACACTTGTCAAACTGTTAAAAAATCATTTATCGTTGCAATTTTTTTTATCATGATAGCCTTGCCAAAGTACCCAACATCATAAGTTAACTGAAATCCCCAGCGGCCAGCTCTGTTAATGCCATGAACCAGTGTTTCCTCTTCTTCCTGAGTTAGAACAAGTTGACCAGCCATTGATCCAGGTTTCTTGTTAACTTTATTCTCAATAATTGACTTGATAAAACTTCACAGCCTTATGATAAAAACTTCACCTTGACAGCCCCTACACTAGCTTCCTGTCTTTTAGGATTCCTTTTCTCTTGCACTTCTAGTATCTTTCAGTACACAAGCAGCATCATCTACCATTACCCCACACTGGCACAAACCAATAAATTATCTCCCATGGAGAAGACACAAGTGAATTTTAAAGCAGGAAACTATTCACACTTGAAATCACTTTAAACTATAATGTCACCTGCTTCAACATTACTAATGTTCAAAATCGCTTGCAAATAATGAAGCAATCCCTTGAATTGCAAATTACAAGTTCATCTCAACAATTACTTATTGTTGATGATACTAAAGATTTATCTAGTTCTCATTGTTCAATATATGCCACTATTATACCAGAAGTATGTGAGATGTTAGTTACAACAACAAAAATACTGAAGAAATATTTTTCAACTTATTCGTACTACGGTTTAAATAAAATGATGTGAAAATTTCCAGTCACCCCACTGTCCAATTTCACCCCAGATGACGGTACTTGCACTGGCAGGGCCAGCTCTGTGTTCAACAGGGGGGCAAACTTTTGGAGCGGCATATTGAAAACAAAAATTTGTTGAAAAATATAAAAAACCTAAACATTATTATTAATTTATTTATTTTATAGGATTTCCCTTTAATACAGTAATTACAATGTAAGTGTGTGGTATACATATTGCTCAAAGTATACATGAAATTAAAGTAACAAAATGTAACAAATAGAAAAGAAATAGTTGTAGGCTAATAATGCTGATCAGTGATCCAATACAATATTATTTACAAGTTTTCTAAAGCAGAAGAGTTGAAAAATATTTGGTTGCAATCGTTCTTAGCTAAAGAAATAAGTCAGTTGAATATGGTGTAAGTGAAAAGTCTGAGTTTTTCTAGAATTTTTTGCGAAGCCAAGGATCCAACGTTTACTAAAAAAATCGCAGATAATATCATCAGATAAAATTTTATGCAAGAAAGTGAAGATTTAAACAATTTATAAAGATTGGAGTAATCACGACAAAATTTATGGATAAGTGTGTTATTCCAATAAGCAAGATTCCACGGTTTCTTGTGCTGGACACTTTCTAGTTTATCAATCGATTTTTTATTATAAAGGGACCAGACAATTGTAGCATATTCTAAGATAGGTCTAACTAAAGAATTAAAAAGTAGTATGACCGTCTGATTATAAAATTAAATGGTTAAGCAAAGAATGCACCCACTTCTTGAAGTGACAAGATTCTTTTATGTCATAATTTCCTTTCTTTTGATCTCAAATAAAACATATGCACTGTGCAATTTGTTTGGTGATATTTAGCTACCTAACATGGAATTTGTCTCCTTCCCACTTTATCTTGTTAGATGTACGTGCCAATACTACATCTCGTATGATACAGGTTAACATCTAGAATCAATCAAGATTTTGAAAGCTTTATTATGGTGTCTTATTACAATAAAAATATACCTTCCTCTCAATTATAATAAAATCTAGAACACAATAATCAAATAACTTAAACTTAAAAAACTTGTCTTAATGCGTTTGACCTGGGAGGCAACGATATTTGGATAAAAGAGAAACACTAGTACTTTGAAAAAAATGGGACTGATACTGTTGATGACTGGTCTTAACATGCTTCTTGAGTGACTTCATACGAGAGATGAGCGACAACGCTCATCCATGGCTATGGCAACGTAAATAAAGCCTCTCGAGCCGATTGCTTCAGAGCAGGTCACACGATTTACTATAGCTCGTGGAGAGAGAACTGTCAGAGCCACTTACATGCAGACGGAACTCTAACTGTTGGGCTTCCTTTCGCGGATGGTAGGTTAATATGCAACAAAAATATGCATATATTGCCCAAATATGCAATTGTGGTAATACATGCGAAAATATGCAAAATAAAAATTGCTCAAATTGATTCTAAAAGCCTCAAAACATATATACCATTTGTTGAAATGGGATGTTTAGCTAACAGAAAAAAATGTGCAAATGCATATAAATCACAGCCCTAGTAATAACTTTTAAAACTTATTCTTATTATGAATAAATTCTTTAATATTTATTCAGGCAAGATACATTTTAATGTGTGAACATCTTTTAAGTTATTTTATTTTATTTTATTTACTTATTCACGCCAATCGGCTATGTACATATAGGTAATAATTTATATACCACACTGCACAATCACATCCAATACACTATAACTATTTCTAAATACAACCAATCGATGCATATAATTAAATTAATTAAATTAAATTGAGATTATAAACCGTAATTATCACATCATACCCTGGTGTTTACAATCTTCGTAATAAATATTTTAAACATAACACATTATCTGTTGTGTATAATTTTCTTTATCTCTATCGAGAATGATGATGTGGATCCCCCAAAGAAGTTTATGCTGGAACAATATTCATTTACTAGGTTCGCTATTCTATTTTTCGGACCGTAATATACATAATTTTTAGTAGTCTTAATTGAATTCAGTAATCTATTCGATCTCAAGCCAGGTTTTGCATAGACAAATTCAAATTGTTCTAATATTTCTTGGCATTCAATTTCGCAATTAATGATCTTAAAAAAATATATAAGGTCTGCAATTTGTCTCCACTTGGAAAGTGAGTGTATTTCAAATTGGTCATAGACTTCATCGGATCTTCATTTTTACAGTTAACACTTGGGATGGGTGATGTAATTAAAATTAGTACTACAATAATATATACAATTTCTAAAAATATTTTATACAAGAAAAATATTCAAAATATACATAATTAAAAATGACTCATAAGTGAGACAAGGTTACTCGCTATTCTATTCTAATGTAAATTTGAAAGATATTTTTGTTTATTAATTAATTTTATTTTGGTTATGGTGGGAAAGTCATCTTCGCTTGTATCATGTATTCTCATATTTATAAACTAATTTTATTTGTTATATAATTAATTTATCCTAAATATATTGTTTTTGTCAAAAAGATAATAAACTTATCCAGACATATTATAAGGCTGCTTAAACATCCAAAATATATTTATAGAGAAAATTTTAATTACAAGAGGGTTTTTTTCATTAGTTAAAGATATAAAGAAATGTTATTCAATAAACTCAATTAAAAATTTAATTTCAATAGGAAAATTTAAATTTATTTCCATGTATGTGTGAATGTGAATGTACAGTGATGAACCACAAGGCACCCCCCCCCCTCATTTAATAATACAGCAGTATTAATTATATTTATTCAATATTAAGTTGATACATGTTAGTTTATGCATACGGAGAGGCTGAAGCAAATACATACAGATTGTCAGGGCAACAGGTGTAATAAACAAGTCCGGGAAGGACAAACGCTCACAGGGTGGCGACACACTGGAAGGGGGAAGCAAAGCCCATTGTAATGAAAAGATTATATGTGTAGGAGGAGTAATAATGTAATACAGAGAATAAGGATTGGTCTTTTTTTAACTGCTGTTTTTTAATCACCGAGCTGTCAACAACAAATTTGGTGTAGCGGTTATCATTAGAAGGGACGTGTGGTGGATGACATAGCAACTAATTTAGTTAAGACATAACAACGAATGTTAGAGGGGGTGGGCTAGAATTAGATAATAATTATTATTTTCAGAGTTGTAATAGTGAGAAAGGAGTGGTGTTCCAACAGTGGAAGAGGCATTAAGGGATGTCCAGATAGCATTACAACACTTAACGAGTCAGAGGACAATGAGGAATCAAGTCTGGAGAAGGATCTAGAAAAATTACTTTAAAAAAATGTAAGAAGCAAACCATTGAAAATAACCACCTTTTTGAAGACAAATAAAGATATTGAAATTTTCAGTTAGTACTGTTAATGTACTTTGCTGGGTTATCAATAAAATACTGGGATATTAATAAAATCAATCATTGTGGAGAAATTCTATTTCATTTTGGCATTGGTTATAGTAAACTAAAAATGTTAGTCCCCAGAAGTTCACAATAACCAGAGATGACAGTACGTCTTGAAAAAATATCTTCACCAAACTGCCTCAATGTTTACTATACCACATATTATCTAGTTCCTACTATGTTTCAAGATGTACATCAAAAGGAGATTTAAATTTTTAGCCGAATATACTGCAAAATATTCGTGATCATTAAATATTGACGAGGGTCAACTAAATTTGTCACTGCGACAACAATACTGAAATGTGTTTAAGCTTTAAATTCTTCATTCCTCATACTTGTAAGTAAATGTATTCCTTCTACTTTGTAAATCTTCAAAAACATTTTGTAGATCACAATAATTAAAGAAAAATATATTACAGTGATAATAAACCATAAATTAATATTGAAGGAATACCAAGGAATACACCTCATGAATACCCTTCAATCGCTAAAAACGTAAAACTTTGCTATTCCTTGGGTTTCGTAATTATATCTGACAATTTCATCAATCCTTCGATTACAATGAATATTTGTGACAAGTTTATTGTTTGCTACAGAAAAAAAATATAATAAAACAATCACAAATCAACAACCAAATTTGTATTAGAAACTGAATCTGCACTGTTATTTAATTTTCCAGTAATTTACTAAATTCCCTTACTTGTCCCCCTTTCACCCATCATAAGAACTTCATCCAAACAAACAATACAATAAATATTGAGGCATTACATAAAGGGTAAATCCTTGTAGGACAGGAGCATTAAGACACAATTGGTTGTAATGTTTTACATACCCCAGCATATGGATGTACAGAAGCTTAGCAATATTGCGACATCTCCAAACACTATCTTCTTCTCGAAATGTGGATCTAATATAAGCACACTCTTTATTAATAACAGCTCGCTCTTCTGCAGCTGTACGGGCAGCACGAATCTGACGAATTAAATCCCTTAATCGCATGGGAGTGGGCATTCGCACTGCAAAAAGAAGGTTTAAGGTTCAGCACATCTGTTTATAGGTAAGGCTCATTAAAAATATAATTTTAACAATGAATCGATTTTTGCTACAAAAATGAGGATTTAAATAAGGTCTCTCTGGAAGTGTCAAACAATAGGAAAACTTACCATTCAAAGTTTTAATTCAAATCAACATTAATTTTTGTCACTCATCTTCAATTTTGCGTACATTCAAAACTGGGCTATCAGTGTCATTTTCGAATAAAAAGAATGATCTTTTGGAAAGAGTACAATTACTGTTAAAAAAGCTTCTTCTTTTGAAATTTATTTATTTATTATCCAACACCTTTTTTGTAAATAAACTGCCTGCATGTGTTCTCAAGAAATTTCACTCCCCCTTTTAAACAATTTAAATAAAAAATGTCTAAATAATAATAATAATTAATTATATATACCATATATATAATATATATAATATATATATATATATATATATATATATATATAATATATAATATATATATATATGATAAATGAGAAAAAAGTCAACTCAAACAATGCAGATAAAGGTGCAAGACTAATGTCAATATTCTGCATAAATTTTATCTTCACCACCTAACTTGAATAGATAAATTAATTCTCCAGCCTTTTAATATATCTGCTTACCTCTTTCCACAGCTTCATTAATAACTTGTTTAATGGCTGCCATATTGAAGGCGGGGTTAAACCTGTAAGTAAGCAATTCTCTAACAAGACTCAAAATGCAAAAATTATGGTTAATTTGTCTAAAGCAGAACTATTAATAGCTAAAATCAATCTATTAGTATCATTAAACAAAAAACATTTCATGTCCATAAATAAAAAAATATCACACCATTGAAAATTGATGCATTCTAGATATGAAGGCCATAATTTCTACTAACACTGTATGAAATACTGACATCACTTTGATACAAAAATTCACAGATCTTTACATTACACCCACGAAAGCCACAAAACACTCATTAAAAAATTTCAGATAAGTCAAAAGATTAAACATGCATTAACTATGTTCAACAGTACTTTTACATGACCCATCCACTACACACAAAAACATGTTTCTTGTATAGGGGAGCAAACCTTTATAACTAACACCATTTCCTCAGCAGATTGCCTGACAAATTTTCACTGGTTGAAGACAATGATTAGGGTTGAATAAATTCTTCTGGTTTCATAAAAATAAATAAAACATGGAAAAATGGCCCACTGGCAGTGTAATTCCTGTTTCATTAGTACTAAATTACACAAATATGTTATAGAAGTTGCTTTATTTACATTTATCAAAATTCTTCATTCCTTTTAACAAATTATCATTAAATTTTCTTTTCTCAATAAAAAATACACACAATCTAAAGCACTAACTATATAGATTCTTTCCGCATATTCGAATAAGGATTCCCAAATACAAGAATTGAAATTTGTATTATGTCACGGGTAATTATCTTGAAACGTCTCAAATAATATGAGATTTAAATTCTATCAAATTTGAAAAACAAGGTAATTTCAAAATTCTATAACAAGGATTTCCATTCACAGTCAAGTAAACAATTGATCTAAACATGCATTGGTAACTTCTTTTATATATGCAATCTTAATAAAGAAAATTAAAATTAAGAGATTCATTCTATCAAGAGAAAATTCTATCCTAAAGGTTTTAAACAGGTCTGGCTGAGTAAACGCATAGTATTTGTAACAATTCATCAATGCTAAAACAATTACATTAAAGGAAATTAGGCACTAATTACTCAGAAGTGAATTATTTCCTTTTAATTAAATCTGTATATTGTAGATTTTCTAAATACTAAAAATTATATTTTAAAATGTCGGTCTTTAATTTCTTTGTATTTTATCTTCAACATTTCAGTTCGTCAATATGAAACATTTATTAAATGGAACTCTTTTCCAGTTTCATTTCCACTTGGTCTAATGTGTTTATAACTACAGTAAAATCGTTATCACACATTACTTTTGCAGAATAATAAATCCAGTAAGAAACTTTTGGCAAAAACTGAAACAAGAATACAAATATATAGAATATATGAAATACCTGATTATTTGTTGTTTGTACACATTGTTTATTGCAAAACAGTTACTCAAATGAACAAAGAATTTACGAAAGAAATAAGTACACTATTTTTCTATTTTTATCACGATTATTAAAAATGTTTTCTGATTTTTACTTCCTGAAGACTAAAAGTTCTGTAAATCTTCTTTCTTAAAATTTTTATAAATGTATGTACTCAGATTACAGGGATTTACTATTCAAGTAATGGAATTTAGATAATCCTTATGACTATAAATATAATGTAGGCTGATTCATTGAAAGTAATAGAACTTTTTAGTTCTTTTCACACATTTCAGAAAATATATGTCCATCATCAGAGCTATAATGTCCAAGATCAAAAAACAATAATGTTAATTAACTTTGTTGGGTTTTTTGACATTGTACAATATAACCCTGGTGATGGAAATATATTTTCTGAAATGTATTTTATATTTTCTGAAATATATTTTCATTGATCAAGCCCCATGAATCTGCCTTCATCACATCAGTAATCTAAATATTATTTTTTAACTCAGCCTAAGAACAACTCTGCACAATGAAATAACTCCATTTGTTATCAGAAAATTACAAAACTGCAAGGTCATGAACTTATAAACCTCTAAAGAGAATAGAATTTGAAAGATTTGGACAATAAAGAATGGGTAGAAAAAGGTCAGATACCATTTCTGACTAGAAATTCCATGACACTTGACACATAACACATGCAAGGCAAAGTTACATGTGCTGAAAACATCATGCAAAATCCTGGCTGAATAATTGTTTCTCCATATTTTAATTCCACTGCTTCTTGATCTCAATGCATTACACCTAGCAAACACAGTGTTTCTGTTGGACAAAACACCAACCAAAATATGTATTTTGAGCAATTAAACTAATACATTTTAATGTCAATTAGTTGTCATTTAATAATATTCTATCTCACTTTTGAGATGTCCTGTCTTAAATTAAAAATAATTAAATTTTACAATCACTTACATCCATTATTTAGTTTCCTCCTAACTCCACTGTTTCTTAAAAATATACTAGAATTGAACTGGATTCACAAAGAATTCTTATTTACATAATACACTAGAGCCATGCAAGGGCTGAAAATATATATGAAATTTATATTAAAATACAATATGATTTTTTAGAAGCCCTGAGGAAAACTAATTTTCAAAGAAGAGGACCTCATTTTACGTAAACTTTATTTAACAGTACTTTAGTTAGCATTTAAAAAATTTTATTACAAACAAATTTTTAAGATTTTAAATTATCTTTCATAATTTTATCTCAAACAAAGAAAAGAAATAAAGACACTTCTACAACATGCGCTTTTAGTTTTCGACAGCTGTCATCCAATGAGCATCGGATATTGAATTTAAATGCTACAATTACATTAATTACACTTACAGTTTCCAGCACATTATATTGATACACAAACAATTTCCTCATAGCAACTAGAATAATTACTGACCTAAAACAAACTTAAACCAATCTTCTACAATTCAGAAAGAACTCATAAATTTGAAGTATATATTACAAAAAATTGTTTTAATTCCATATCTTCAACTTTACAGCAGTATTCACACAAATTAGGTTATGCCACAATTTCTGTTATGAAATGATGTCAAACGTTCCTAACTCAAACACATGCACTACAATACATAATTTTTCAAGATCAAAATTTCCATTTAGCCTTTTTTTTAAGAATGGAGAAAAATGATTAACTTTTATGAGCACACAATCATATTTTTACAAAACTATTATTTATCTATTAAATACTGGTACTTGCAAAACATTCTTGAAAAGAATATGAGGTTAAAAACAGTATATTGGAAAAATACTGAGGAAAAAACATCAGTGTCAAATTACAAATAATTTTGTTTCTAATTGGGTAAATTTAAGCATATGCAGAAAAGGTTATTTTACAAGACAAATTTTGTTTTGATTTAAAATCTACAGAAACAAAAAAACTAGTAGAAATTTGTGCAAATATTCCTAATCATGCTCTCATAAATTAGTACTTCAGTTAGAATTATGATACCAAACACACTTTACTTTTATTCCCTTTCTTGATACTTGTTGCTCAAGTTTCTTTCAAAACATTCTCATCAAAATGTTTCAAATCCAAAAGTGCACCATGCACACATTAAGCTACCATTGACAACAGCAGGGAAAACTTGCCAAAAACTTTATTTTGTGAAATAAAAGTGAAATAAATACATCATGCCTCAAGCTACATGCAATTCAAAACAAATGTCATTAGTTAGTGAACCAAAAATCAAAATCCCTCCAAAACAAAGGTGGTTTACCTAATTCAGTCATGAATGTTTTCTTTCTCAAAGCAAGGATGAAAAATAAGAGAATGAATCCTTCATGAAAGTTACCACCACCCTATAAAATAATAAGTAAAGTTAATATTACATTTTTTATTATTACCCATGGTCAGAGGGATTCATGTTTCCTCTTCAATATGTGAGCAAGAATCAATCAGTTATGGCAGTAAGCTGAAGGAACTTGCAAGATTCCTGTGTGTAATACATAACAAATTGACAAATGTGTTCATGTTCATATAAGATACAAGGACATAAAGATGATATGTTGAACTAAAGTCAATGACAAGGATGTAAAATGTCAAACACATACACACATAACCTGCTAATAAACTATAGAGAACATAAGCAAATAACATAAAAAATGAGTGAACACAGCACTGCCTCACAACAGTGGTATGCTTTCGTAAACTTTCTTAATGATAAGCTTAAACAAGCTCTGAGCATATCTTAATCAAAGAAAACATTTTTCTTAAAATACCAACCACATCACCTGATACATCCAGCTCATTTGTCGACAATATAAAGAAAGAGAATAAATCGTGCAAAAATTTCACTGATGAACTAAGTAAAAATACATTTACCTAAAAGAATTCCCTAAAAGGCCCAAGTGACACCGTATTTTAAGAAATTAGCCAAAAATTCATTCCTCCGGTCTGCATCAGACCAACCTCAAGTCAATGAACATGCACATTGCGAAAATGGCGGCTTACTGCGACGTCCGGCTATATTTCAGTGTCAGAATTCCATTTTTGTCAGTCTTGATCGTCGTGTCGGTAGCCTGCGCAATCATGGAAAATTTTCTCGAAATTTATTAACTAAATGAAAATGTAAAGTTCATTTTTATTTGTGACAGCAAAGCTGTTCATTAGCATGGCAGAAGTGCGTTACATCCACCCAAAGCATTCGGGTATACGTGGAACCAAGAGTTGACTAATAAGTCTAGTGGGAGTGTATGTAGTTGCCAGTGTAGGAAAGAAACCTGATAATATTGTATGCATTTCTGACCGCTGAAGGCACTATCTTACGACAAATTAATCGTAATATATTTGATTATACCGCCTGGAAAATTTCGTCTCAACATTATTCAGAACACCTTACTTACCTTCGATTTAACTCGGGAGGTAGTATTCCTAATTCGGGTTCATAATAATACCACATTGTTTTTGAGAACGATACTAGATCACTGTTGTATTTTAGATCTGCTTCACAACTTTTTTATCTACTTTCATTATCAGAAGTTATCAGAAAATGGATGGGAGGGGACAGGAGAGATAAAATTCTCTTAAGGTGCATGTTTTCAGTGAAATGTGATAGGCTGCAGTGTGACCTCATATCATTAAATTTTTCAGACACCATAAATAAATATGATTTATTAAATAAATTATTTAATAATCCAATTTTAAAACAGTTACATGCAATAAACACAAAATTACAAATACCAGTTTATGTTTCATCTTGATTTCTTGGAGGCCGGATCTCACTATTCCGTTTAATACAATCAACCATCCATCGAATTCCTTCATCAATACCATCCCTAAAAAATTAAATTCCAACTTAACCATACATTAAATTTAAAATTAAGAACAATTTATATCACATATGTAATAAATAATAACCCTGTCAGAGCTGACACTGGCATAACCATACAATCACGACGGCCAATGAGATGAGCGCTTTGGTTGAATATAGGCTTCACTTCTCGAACACCCATGCAATCAGGAATGTCTTGTTTATTTGCTAATACCAATAAGGGAACACCAATTAAATTTTCACTGGAGATCATTTTATCTGCACAAAAACATTAAAATGTTAGGCATGAAACAAGAAAATTCTGAACTTTTTGACACCAAGAACTAGTCACACATTTTCTCTTCAACATTAATTTTGTACTTATAATCACTTGTGCAACTTTAAAAATAGACAAGAGGGAGTCCATAAATATCTTGAATCATTTTTATGGAGGTTTATTGTAAAATTGGAATAATGACAAAAATTAAATTTATCAACGAATGTCACAAATTGCCTCACTGTTGCAATCGGAAGCACTTCACGATGAAATGTCTGTCTTATGCTTCCAAATGCAAATACAATAATGGTTTTAACATGTTTGCCCACAAAATTCAATTGAAAGAAACTAATGAGCACATCGATTGTTTTTCAAATTTTTACTGGTTTAGAACAGCCAACATACTCCTTGTACTTATAGGAAAGATTTGAAAGTCAACAGAAGCCTCTGTAGATTATAGTTATATTCAAGAGCATGCAAAGAACTGAACAGCTAAATACATAATATCTGAATTAACACTCATCTGTAGAATGAAGTAATTACCAATCATTACAACACACAAAACTGCAAGTTATAAGAAAATGTTTTTTTGATAATTCCAAAAGTTTCGTATGACCGACATATACTTTAGATATTCAGTGGATTTATATGTTACTGTATAACACACTAATATTCATACCTATTAATGGCAGAATAGGAATGACATTTGTGACTCTTGTAACAACTGAATACCAGAATAACACCCATCCTACAAAAAAATTGTTTTCAATAATAATAATAAACATTATTATTATAATAATAAACATTATTATTATAGTGATATCATTTAATAATCTTCATTGCAACATTCCAAATCCACTTGAAATGTTGTCTATGTAGTAAACTGTGTGAAAAAATTACTAAACAAATGTGCCAGAGTACATTGGTCTATCTACACAATAATTTAACAGATATACAAAATTATAAAACCATACAAAAAAATTAAAGTAGTAGAATCTGAAGAAATCCAGCACAATGCAATGGTAATCTCAGCTGCCTTAATTACAATCCTGACCAAATGCAAGCTCAACAGCACCTTCTCTCCTTGAATATGTTTATAACTCAGCTTTCATTTAAGTTGTCTAAACCATTCTTGAATATTTAAGAGGCGGTATCTCTCAACACATCATTTCTGCTTTACATGCAAATGACAATTGAAGAAATCAATAAAATAACAAATTACTTTTTTCTGTGTGTGTTGTAAAACTAAAGTATTACACTCCCCATTATGATTCTAATAACGCATAAGCACTTTTTTCCTCAGAAGAAAGGCATAAAATAGGTAAAATTCTAAAAATCTAAGCCCTAGTTGTAGTTGTGTATTAACATATGTCTTATTCTTATTTTGGAGATAATATAAATGAAGCAGATACAATGCATCTCAAATATATTCATTTCAGCCAGTTTCAACTTTATAAAAGCATTTCATTAAAATAATGGATTTGAAAAGAAAAAAAAAAAAACCTTGATCAACTTACCAAATGCTTCTTTAGAATCAGGTATTCTATCACGATCTGATGAATCAACAATGTAAATTAAGGCATGTGATTCTGCATAATACTGTAATTAAAAGATTCTGTCGTGTAAGATAACATCAATCTCTTAAATAATTGTAACATTAAATATTTTTGACTCAATACCTTATCCCATAATGACTGCAATTCTTCTTGACCACCCAAATCCCAGAAATTCAGACGGATTCCAGCAATGTCGATTTTTCCAATGTTCAGTCCAACGGTGGTGGTTATTTTATTAGGGTTCATTCCCTTGTAGTTCTTAGTGAATTTGGTCTTGGCAGCCTCTAGATAAGTCTTCAAAATGTACAAGTCACAACATATTCACAATCATTTAAGTACAGCACCAAATTTGGTAACCAAATTAAGCATAGAAAATTTACCGTTTTCCCTGCATTATCAAGACCTAGGATCAGCACACAATATTCATCTTTTTGAATAATATATTTGTATAAACCATGTAGCAACGTATACATGATATCGCATTAGCCCGCAAGTGTTCACATTACTACCCACTGCCGCCAGCTGATACCAGACACCACAGACGATGCACGACATACACTGGATGTCACCAACTGTCATGCACCAGGCCAATGAGAAAGGTGTATGGCCTGTGGGTTTCGTGTGGTATCATGTAGGTCCTGGTTGGCCTTGGCTTTGCGCTGTCATCTGTCGGAACATAGCCTATACTTCGGTTCTTTTAACATGGAACGTGGAACTAGGAACTATCCCCAAGAAATTCACTCGACCATCAAAGTCCTATACAAAGGGAAAGGCAACCCCAAATTAATAACAGGCAGAGTGAAAACAAATTGACACTACTCTTCCCGACGCCCAGATCGGTTTTAGAAGAAGTCCACAATCGTGAAAGAGTATACAATCGCAGCCATGTCGTTATTATTGAGAGTCATACAGAGGATTCATACAGGTGAGACATACGTTTATTTAAAACGCATTGCTAGACGAATGCAAACAATTGCAGTCGGTACACACATTTAAGTTAAAAGTAAAATCTTTTCTGCAATTAGACACTATACTGATCATCAAAAGAAAAATAATGTTAATTTTAACAAAACTGATATTCAATGAATTATTTTACATTTGTATTGTATTTTTTAAAGTGATTGAATATGCTTGTAACAAATAGTGTACTTCAGCTTCCGGGTTAATGCCCCCATCTCCATCAGTTTTTTGCCCAGTCTCCCAGATACATCGAGCAAATGCTGAGATGGCCCCTTGTTTTGCTTCTGGATGTAAATGAAGCTTCGTGCGCGTTATGCGCGCGTTTTGTTGAATTATCCTTGTGTGTGTCGCTGTTCGCCTCTCTGCCGGTGTCGCGCAGGATGCGCGGTGGCTTTGGACCCAACGCCGCTGTAAAGCAGATTCTCGAGATCGCGCGACTGCTCACCAGGACGCAAACACTGAAGAACATACTCTTTGCTGAAGAACATGCTTGCTCCTAATAGCATGTCGATAGGCTTCGACCGATTGAAGCACGGAGCTGTGAGGTCGATATGCATCGGTAAGTTCCGTAAATCGTATGCAAATGATGCGACTGGTAGGTCATGAATGATTCGAGACACAACTAAAAATGTCAATTTTTTCTCCCATTTCCCGTCCTGTGATAAAACTGAAGCTTGAATTTGGGAACGAGACACGGTTTCGCCTGAAATCCCGGCAATAACACAGTGACAAAATTGTTCCCTTTCGCGTGACGAGTTTTCACAAACTTGTGCAGAAGTATTTGTTGAACTCTGGGAAGATTCCCGATAAGTGATGGCTACCGTCACACGTTTCAAAACGCATAGACGAACATTTATGATCTTTAGTATTACTTGCACGCCTTTTCGTGAACGATGCATTGAAGAAATGCGGGTAGAGAGGGGGTATTAATTACGAAATAGGCCACTAGACTTTATGAAGCAATGCCAATCTCTGGAGAATCAGCCATGCCGTCGCAACTTTCTCAATATTTTGCGTTCTAACTTTCCCAGGAGTTCGAGGTATCTCCTGTGATGGATCTTCAGGTGATCATTTCTTTAGTTTTTTTGTTGAAAATCTGTGACAGAAGTTCTCAACAGAAAACAGTTTCTACATTGAACCAGAGAAGATGTGTTTGAAATGTTGTCATCAATGCTCGCTGCGAGATTTTGCCTTCAACTATTTATTGTGCTAGAGAGGGGGAAGCAAGGTCATCGCTCAAGAAAATTGCCCGAGTAATATGACTCCCTAAACAATTAAAGCACAGATTGTTTTCTTTCACAAACGTGACGCGTTTTGTTTGCAACAGTTAAAGGAACTCTCTACACCAACGAACTAGAATATTCTAGCGTTTTCGCTGCTATGGACCGCTCTCAGCGCGTCGCCGCCCTGTGCTGACGCACCGCGGCGGCCGGCGGCGGCTGTGTGCGGCGCATTTTCCTAGTTCGGAATGGCGCACACTGGCAGGGGGTCGGATGCGCCACAAGAAAACGCGCATACTTCCTATCCTTTCTTTGATATGGGCTTTCATGTCATTCAAAACATAAATTTCATCAGAAGATGTATCATTCCATTTTGCAAATTGCTAGTGATATTTTTTAGTGATTTGCAGTGCGTTTTGATAGAGTACCTTACTTTTATTAACAATTAATGGCATTAACAATTCCGTGAAAAAACAAGAAATCCAAAATTTAACTTTCTTCATTGAGCCCTGAT